GATCAGATTTTAATTACAGAGCACAAAAACTTTTGTCCATGAGATACAAAAGTGGCAAATTCAAGGTATAATTTCCTTTATAGATGAGGGGGGAAGCATCGCACGTATGTTGAAACCCTTTATCAGACTAGCAGGCTCTTAGTGCAACATCTGTTACTTTGCTGGTAATGACAATGACCTGTGGGACAGTGGGCTGAAACGGAAGTACCGTATATCGTATTTCTCCTGCCGTAGAGTGACTTATTTTTCCTTTAGAGGGCCTGACGAGGCAGTGCTCCTTGTACCGTTGGCTTGTTCTGTTGTCACACAAGGCTAACCTCCTTCTTAACTCTTTGAAATCTATACCTGCTCTATAGAAGTACTTCATCAAGGTTACGCAATTTCACTTTGACAGAGACAGAAAAGGCAGTGCTGTATAGACACCAAACTCAAACACATGCTGCTGGATTTTTCTGCTGTGTTCTTACCATAATATCTTCAAAATGATCTTTTCTCCTTTGTGTGCAAGTGAATAAGCTCACTTTGGTTACACGCATGAATAATTGATTCGTCTCCCACTTCCTGATGACAGAATGCAGATTACATCCTTCTCTTATTTTAAAATATTTAGTATCTTGGTATTTTTTATTTAGTCATACAAAGAGACTCTCGGGGATTTTTCTGAAAGGAAAAGTTAAGTCTTTTCTGAGATTAGGACCTGATCTGTCAGGTGACTTTGCAAGCTGGAGCAATCATTTCTTTTTGCTTTGCTTCCAAGAAGACAGATTTTCTTACCTTTTGAAGTACTTTTAATTATAGCTCTTTCTGAAGGGCTTTCAAAAATGTTATTTGTCTGATTTTTCTGTCATTTTCTGTCTTGTACTTCTAACTGAATGTGACTGCATTTAGTGCAATGCCGACAAAAGTGGACTATTGGACAACAGAGCACCCAGAAATACTCCCTGCCAAAATATTGACTAAGTCCAGTTTTCTGCTAACATTCACAAATCTGATTTATTGTATCTAGTGAGGCTGCATGGTGGCGCAGTGGTTAGCACTGTTGCCTTGCAACACGAAGGTCGCAGGTTCGAAACTCGGCTGCGGCCTTCCTGCGTGGAGTTGCGTGTTCTCCCCATGCATGCGTGGGTTTCCTCCGGGTACTCCGGTTTCCCCCACAGATCACAACATGCCCTATAGGTTAAAAAAAATGTAAGTCGCTTTGGGTAAAAGCGTCTGCTAAGCACATAAACATAAACATAAGTATTTGAACACCTAGCGATTTTGCAAGTTCTCCCACTTAGAAATCATGGAGGGGTCTGAAATTCACATTGTCGGTGCATTCCCACTGTGAGAGACAGAACTTAAATAAAAAAAAGTCAGGAAATCAATTTGTATGATTTGTAAAGAATGAATTTGTTTTGCACTGCTGCACATAAGTATTTGAACACCTGAGAAAATCAGTATTAATATTTGGTACAGAAGCCTTTGTTTGCAATTACAGAGATCAAATGTTTCCTGTAGTTCTTGACCAGGTTTGCACATACTGCAACAGGGATTTTGGCCCACTCCTCCACACAGAACTTCTCTAGATCTGTCAGGTTCTGGGGCTGGTGCTGAGCAACACGGAGTTTCAGCTCCCTCTAAAGATTTTGGATTGGATTTAGGTCTGGAGACTGGCTAGGCCACTCCAGAACCTTGATATGCCTCTTACGGAGCCGCTTCTTGGTTATCCTGGCTGTGTGCTTTGGGTCATTGTCATGTTGGAAGACCCAGCCACGACCCATCTTCAATGCTCTGACAGAGGGAAGGAGGTTGTTGCTGAAAATGTCACAACACATGGCCCCGTTCAGCCTCTCCTTAATACAGTGCAGTCGTCCTGTCCCCTTCACAGAAATCACCCCCAAAGCATGATGTTTCCACCCCCATGCTTCACAGTAGGAAAGGTGTTCTTTGGATGCAACTCCTTCTTTTTCCTCCAAACACGGCAAGTGAAGTTTAGACCAAAAACTTCAACTTTGGTCACATCTGACCACATGACTTTCTCCCATGCCTCCTCTGGATCATTCAGATGGTCATTGGCAAACTGCAGACAGACCTGGACATGTGATGACTTGAGCAGGGGAACCTTTCATGCAATGCATGATTTGAAACCATGACGGCATAGTGTTCTACCAACAGTGACCTTTGAAACTGGCCCCAACTCTGTTCAAGTCATTGACCAGCTCCTCCCGTGTAGTTCTGGGCTGATTCCTCACCTTTCTTATCATCAGTGATACCCCACGAGATGAGATCTTGCATGGAGCCCCAGTCCGAGGGAGACCAACAGTCGTCTTTAGCCTCTTCCATTTTCTGACAGTTGCTCCAGTAGTTGATCTATTTTCACTAAGCTGCTTGGCAATTTCCCCGTAGCCCTTTCCAGTCTTGTGGAGGTCCACCATTTTGTCTCTGGTTTCTTTTGACAGCTCCTTGATCTTGCCCATGGTAGTAGTTGAAGTGTGACTGACTGTGGGGTGGATAGGTTTATTTAAAGAGCTCAGACAGGTGCTACAAATTAAGATTACCATGTGGAGTAGAGGTGGACTTCTTAAAGGCAGAGCAACAGGTCTTTGAGAGCCAGAATTCTTGCTGATTGCCAGGTGCTCAAATACTAATGTCCAGCAGTGCAAAACAAATAAATTCTTTACAAATCATACAATGTGATTTCGTGATTTTTCTTTTTACATTCTGTCTCTCACAGTGGGAATGCACCTACAATGTGAATTTCAGACCCCTCCATGATTTCTAAGTGGGAGAACTTGAAAAATCGCAAGGTGTCCAAATACTTACATTCCTCACTGTATGTGTTTAAATGCATGTGCCAAACTCTTATATTTGTGTCTCTCAAAGGCTGCTAGTAAAAAAACTGCTTTGTTAGCATGTTACTGGCTAGTTAGTATTTTAGATGTTATTTAAATTTGTGTTTTTACTTTTCTGCTAAGTCTTTCGCAGAATGTGGATACCACCCTGGGTCAGAAACTTGTGTGTCCTGACAGATTTAGTGCTAATTAACAGTCATGCCTCTGGAAGTTTTCATGTTGGACAGAAAATAAGTGGAGCAAGTCCAAAGAAATGTGTGATTTACTGTTAAGGACATTTAAAAGATTACAATTAAGTTTGCCTCACTGAAAAAAAGAAATAAAGTGCAATATTTCACTTTTTCTCGCCCACTGGCAGCTCTCCGTCTGGCACAGAGCACGTCAGGCAAATCTAGTGGATTGATAATCCTCTTAAGGGACTCATTGCTCATTTGCCAGAGTCCAAATAAAGTACGACCTTATGGGATTTAGTTGGGAAGCACTTTGTTGGCTCTGTGACCTCCCGCTGAGAAAGGGAGAATCTGGGACAAGAAGCATGGGGAGCAGTGGACAAAGTTTTCATGCTGTGGGCGGGGCTTCAAACTGTTAGAAATAACAGAGGAGGATTTGTCCGAGCGTCCCTGTTGTGCACTGCCAAAATAATCCTACCATGACAAAGGCCTTTTTTCTGTTGCACCCTTCATACACACTCAGTCCTTCAGGCAAAGCTCAAAATAACATGTAAAAACACTTGTTACTCCAGTTCACTGTTAAAAAAAGCTTTTGATTTACACGAGAAAAAGTGCTACATCATACAAAGCTGCACAAAAAAATCTTGTTTTAGATTATTTTAAAAAAATCTGGGCTAGAAAAATATAGATTTTCTAATTAAGACCTTTAGTGCAAACGTTTAGTGTAATGAAGCGAAAATAAATTCACAAAAACTACGTAACTATAGTGACTAGTGAATGAGCAGGATAAAATATAAAAGTATGTGTTTTCTGTGTAAGCTTTCTGCAAAGAGAAAATAGGCATTATGGAAGTTTGACAGCCAAAACATGTATAGAAATGATAAATGTCTTCTTCATACGTTCTCCTGCAATGCCCTGGTCCTGTAGAATGAGCCCTGGCATTTTTACTGTGATTGCCTGTTTTTCTGTAAAATCACAGAAAAAGAGAGTTGAGCTGAGCTGCTCGGGTCGAGCAGGCTGCTTCATGCGCGTTCACGCTCAGGCACATAGCCCGTAGCATTTGCTATCAGTAGCTTTAGCAGCAGAGAGTGAGGTAGTGCCAACTCAGCGACTTTGTCGCTGTTCCTAACGCCTAGTGAGGAACCTAGCTACATTTCTGAGGACCCTTAGCTACTTTCTTCTAGATATTTCCTGCAAATTAGCAACAAAATAGCCATTTTCGCTCCGAACCGTTCTTTGAACGTTCTTTCAGCTGTCATCAACGATATAAATATTACAGATACAAAGTACATCACTGGTGCTTTAGCTCACCTAGTAAGATGTCGGAGTCTCGTGCGGAAGACCTGGGTTTGATTCTGGATGTGAACATAGTTTATTTAGAGTTTATTTTTTACATTAATGGTACATTTTTTTACAGTATGATGCCCAAATTTTTATTTGAGACTCGCCGAACGGCATTGAATTCACAGATAAAAAATAAGTGGGTTCAACTTTCATTTTGGAACAATTTTTCAAGCAAGGGAAGGGAATGATCTGAGCATGCAGGACTGACCCATCTTAAACCTTTGCCAGCTGTGCTGAAGAGAAAGGTACAGAACCAAATTATTTAATTAATTAGCTGCGCATTCTCCTGCCCTCTGTCCTCCAGGCCACACACACACACACACACACGGGACTGTCTCCGCTGTTATTTTCGTTAAGGAGTGTGCACGTACAGCATGCGCGCCTCGTGCACGAGCCTACTATTGAAGCTGCCGTTACGCTTTTGGCCTGAGGGGGCAATCGCGAGCATAAAATTCAAAACTCCGTAAAGTCCCTTTAAATATTTAATAAAATGTCCAGAAATTTAAGACATTTAAAAAACGTTTTGTCTAAATAAATATCTAAATGTCTTTTTGTATGATTAGTCTTATTTAAGAAGCATTTTAGTTTTCAAGTCACTTACATGTTTTAGGCTAAGTCCATGAATGACTCTTGCTGATTTATTTATCTGCAGTCTTGTCAACTCCCAAACAAAGAATGGTGCCACACCGCTTTACCTGGCCTGCCAGGAAGGTCATCTGGAGGTTGTCCAAAACCTGGTGAAGGACTGCGGGGCAGATCCGAGCATCAGAGCCAACGACGGGATGACACCTCTGCATGCTGCTGCTCAGATGGGCTACAACACTGTCATTGTCTGGCTAGTATGTTGGGATTTGAAAAAAACAAATATTTACAGCATATCTATATCGCATTTACTCCCAGCCCATCGTAGTTTTTCCATTGCAAAACCTTCTGATTTTCTTCATATTTAAAACCAAATAACTTGAGTTTTGGTTCTTTTTTGTTGAAGATGAGCTTTACAGACATCAGCCTGACGGACAGAGATGGAGACGGAGCCACAGCGATGCACTTCGCAGCCAGCCGGGGTCATGCAAAGGTGCTCAGCTGGCTGCTGCTGCACGGTGGAGAGATCGTTACTGACAACTGGGGAGGGACCCCCCTCCACGATGCTGCAGAGAACGGAGAACTGGAGGTGAGTTATCATTGCTCTCTAATGTAAGAAGAGAAGTTTCAAGATGGGATTGGTTGGAAAAATAATTTAAAGTAAACAATATTCAAATAATGTATGCAGATGCTTTGGGATTCATGGTACTCGTTTACCCATCAGCCATCTGTTTTGACTGCTTGTCCGCTAGCTTATGGTTCTCACCACCCCTCTAACCTGCTGCTTTGACTAACAGTTTTGCTGCAACAAACTCTGATCGAACAGCTGCTTCCATACATGCTTGATACCATTAAGAGGATATTAAACTGCACATTTAGTTGGAAGTGCTAAAAATGAATCAACAAATCGGAATGCTTAGTTTCTAATCTCTGATTTTGACTGATTCATGAGAGAACACTTTAGATTCCTCTCTCGTTTCTGATCTTTAGTGCTGTCAGATACTTGTGGTGAACGGGGTGGACCTGGGCATCCAGGACCAGGACGGCTTCACCGCAGCAGACCTGTCTGAATACAACGGCCACTCTCAGTGTGCCAAGTATCTGCGCACAGTGGAGAACATGGTAAGATCGTTGGTCTCACTGCCATGAACTCTGACCTTTAGGTGATCAGAAATCGGCTTTTTGTGAAAGTTGTGTTCATTTAATACTTATTCAAAATGATCTGCAACAAAGAGAAGGCTGAAAAGAGCTCATCTGCTGTGTTAGCATCTGTTTATCTGTGTGTGGTGGGAGAGACTACCCATCAACTCATCAACCAATCACCCTCCTTCCCTCACACTGCACACTGAGTAACTTATATGGGATATATTATGCAAAACTCACCTTTTCTGCAGCCATGTGAGTCTCTACTGTTTCTATAAGCTCTCCACAAAAATTTATATATATATATATATATATATATATATATATATATATATATATATATATATATATATATATATATATATATATATATGACCATTAGTTTTATGTCATTTTTTGGTTTTAGGAATTTTATGCCTATAAAACATACTGTTTCAAAAAGTCTCCGCTTGTGATGTCACAACAGGGAAAGTAGATTAGAACCACCTCTCACGTGCAGTTGCTACAGGAGGAGCGGCAGCTCTACTCCGAGCCCCTCCTGGATATCTGAGCTTCTCAGCTTATAGCAACCTAAGTGGGTGATAGGTGGGCGTGGCCAGATTCAACTTGTTCTTTTAAAGTGACAGAGCTCTGAAACAGCTCATCGTGGAAGGTACTGAAACTGTCACGAGCGAAACTGCTTCCTGTGAGCGGGATTTAGTGCAAATATCTTGATAAAATGTTTTGTATCAGCTATAGATCTATTATAACTTAATAAACAACATCAAGTGACCCCTTTAATCCCCACACACCAAGGCTGAGGTTCTACCTAGAGGTTGTGAGGCTCATGAACTCTGACCCTTCGGCTGTTTTCTGCACCATTTTTACTTTTTCTGTTTTCAGATTGTTTATTTAAGCTGGTGAATGGTAATAATAAACTTTTCTGAGTTTGAGTTGGTTTTAAGCTTGTAGTGTCTGTTCAGCAAAACTGGCATCAGAAACTGGGAAACTCATTTTAGTTAAAACTAGCAAAAATGGTTCAACATCTCTGGTTTCTGGAAAAAAAAGACTGAATAAACTTGGCTGAGCTTTTTTTCTCTATTAAATCCTCACTCACGTCATGCATTGACCTCCATAACCAGCAAACAGAGAACCCAGAATGTGCGGAGTAATTACCACTGAACCCTCTGGTGCCTGGGAAACAGATTTCTTTTCTCCTGCACTCATTCTCATGGGAGACATGAGGCCTCATGAGTTCTGCCCTGTGGGAAACTAAAAACCTCCTGAGTCTTCCTGTGAGAGTTTCATTGCTGTGCAGTAATTAAAACACTCTGCTTCTTGTGTGAGGCACTGGGGACCAAGAAGGAATAAGATGTATCCATTACTGTGATCATTTCATTTTAATAAGTAATCTGTCTGATCAAAATGTGTCTAAAGACAAGACGATGAGGAAAAAGCTGAAAAACGATTGCACAGCTTAACACGACACATTTTCTGGCAGAGTGTGGAGCATCGTGTTCTGTCTCGAGATCCTTCGACGGAGCTTGAGTACAAGCAGCCAGACTCTGGCCTCTCGTCCCCAAACACCACCATGCCTCCTCCCAGCCAGGCAGTAAATTTTGACATCGGTTCACCATCCAGCTCCCTGTCCAACTACGACTCTGCCAACTCCAGCCAGTCCAGCACTGGGGAGAAGAGGAGCAGCTTAACGACGTCACGAGGCCCGCCCACACAGCTGAACACAGTTGCTCATCAAGGTCTGCAAATAACTTATATGATTACTTTCACATTCTGGCCATTTCATAAGTAAAGCCTAGTTGCCACCTTAAATGTAAACACACTATTATTTACAGTTTGCTTTGTTTCCTGCTTTGTATTCTGCTGCTGCACCCTAGTGGTCTGTTGTTTCACATGGAGCTGCACAGCCATGTTTTTTTAAACAGAGCACTAAAACAGAAGTTAATGTATTAAAAAATTATTGGGATCTTGTGATTCTGTCTTCCTCTTATTTGTGTCTCAGGTGCACCAGAATCAGCCATTTCAGATATGCAAGCATACATGGATATGCTGAACCCAGACATCCGCACTGATGCTCCCAAGAGGATCGAAGCACCTGGTGGTGGTATTCCCAAACCTCCACCTCCTCCGACCTGTCCGCCCCCACCTCCTCCCAAATCTCCTCCAGAACCTCCACCACCTCCTAACTACCCTGCACCGCAGCCTCCTCAAGAGCCTTTACCGGCTGAGTTCCTCAAGGTGAAAAGCAACTTGCGGCATGTGGAGAGTAAAACTGGCAAAAAGGTACGGGGCTGTGTTTGAATTAAAACATGTAAAAATCAAACATTCAGAGCTCTACAAACATCATTTTCAACGTGTAAAGACATGATTTCACAATTATTTGTGCACAAATGTGACGTTGTCCCCTCTTAACGACGGGTACAGCCACTACAGAAACAGGAAGCTAAATTGGCAATTAGCTGTTTTTTTTCCCCTGTGTGCCCAGTCAGTTGAAGCGTAGCTCTTCTGCAACAATGCACCTTCTCTGGGAGCCAACAATGATGTTATTGTGTTAGCATGGCTAACGAGGCCACAGAAGATGCTCGTTAGTGTAGCGGACCCCTGGCTTGACACACACAATGGTTAATGTGACGGGTTTGATCATAATTCCACTAATTAATCTGGCCATGGATCACTCACAAGTGTTTCAAAAGCAGATCGGGAATAAAAACCGGCATTAATATTAGCATCAAGGCTACATTTGTCAGGTTAGCACAAGAACAAATAAATCACATAGTTATGATGTTAAATGGAAGTGAGTTTCTGTATAAAGTGGCTTACCTGTAGCTCTTTGAACTGTCTCACTCTGGAGTTAATTATCACTGGATTGACAAGCTAACAGCTAGTCTGAGCAAGACAAGAGACAAAGTGGATTACTGCTGTCTTATAAAGCAATATTCAATCTCTACAATATGTATATTGTATTCCTACAGGAAGGATGCTAATTTGACTACCAAATAACCTCTTTTATGAAAATTAAAGTGATGTGAAAGTTTATGAAATAGTGTTCACATGATCAGCTATAATTTTATTTAAGTAGTTTTAACCTCATGCAACTCTGCAGCCTCACAAGGAAATTGGCTTATTGCATTATGATTTTATTCTCCTTAACGTAGATGTGTTTGTATAATTTAGACACTTAATTTTCATTTATAATGGTTAAACTTCTTTATTTGTGTTCATTTATTGCGGAAAATTGTAGAAAATCTGTTTTATTTAATTTAAAGATTAAAAAAATCATGTTTATAAAGTTTGGCAAATCTGAAATATCTAAAAATAAATAATGATAAAATAAAAATGCATCAAATAAAATTCTGGGTTTTAGGAGGCTAATTGAGGCCACAATTATTTTATTTTGTTTATTTATTTGGCCTTAATTTTCTACTTGAATATGTCTAATTCTCCAAACTGAGGCTGTTCAAAGACTTTGCTACAAAAGGTGAGATGTTGTTTGTTTACAACTGGTCCACATATCCCCTTCAAAAGACCTTAGACATTTGCTTTTTTTTTCTTTACTCACAAAACTACTTTATAGTTGCTAAAAATAATATCATAAATTTCTAAAATATGGAAAAAATCTCTGATTGCTCAACAAAATTGAATAACTGATTTATTTAGTATTTTATGCAACACCATTTGTTGCTACTGTGTAAAACTATAAAATGATATTCCTGTTTGAGATGTAAAGGAGCTGATCTGAATCTTTAGAATCACAACAAAGATAACTAATCTGAGGGATCACTCTCACCTCATGAAAAATGTACGTCCTGATTGTTATGGCGTCTTCAGTGTGATCAAAACAACCCAGTGTGTTTACTCACAGTTTAATTAGCCGTAAAATAATTCTGTTGAAAATAAATTCATTTCTCCAATAATCTTTAACTCTGAGTTTATTTCCTTGAAAGCACAACCGGAAAACCATTCATCTCATATTTTAGATCGTCTGAATCAGCCCTTTCATGGGAGTTTATTCACATTAAAAGCAGAAGTAGTCTAAAACTTTAGAGAGCAGCAGAACCAGCTGATTCACTAGAAAAGTTTAAATAATGACTGAGTCACAACACATATGCAAAGTTGGCCCAGGTTTTAGCCTAGTTCTCAGCCTGTGAGTCGGTGTGTTTCCATCATTGTGCGTTTCAACAGAGATTTCTTTGTGTGTTTTTGCTTCTAAGTGTGAACATCGCTTGTATCAGGGTGGTGGTTTGAGCTCTGGTCCATGTGATCAGATCACGGGTCGCCCTCTTTTAATAATTGAATAAAAGCCAGTGCTCAGAGCACATAACAGAAACGCGAACACTGTGTGCTATAGGTGAAACAGTCTGCAGAAGATGGCATAGTAACAGCCAATCAGAGCCTTCATATGATCTCAGGTGTTTCAGAGATGGTTTATTTTTCTTCTTTATTCTTCTGCTGTTGCTGCTTGGCTCATCTCATTTGTCTGCATTTGCCTGCATTTGCTTGACTTAAATCAGATGCTCTTTGAGGAGCCACTTTGCCTGTCAAAGTTGTCCCCTTTGCTCTGTTGTCCACACGTTCTAGTAATCAGTAGTCTTCCCAACCGGTTTTGCTGCTAAGTGTGGAAGTTGAAATTTTCTAATAATCCTAAAGCCTTTTGGATTTGTGCACAGCAGCGAACAATGGCAGAAACAGATGGGCGTTTCTTTTGCATAACCGGAACTGGGCGGGGCTGAGGGGGTGGTTGTAGTCCACCGGTTGGAGGTGACATCATTGCTACTGCTGCGTTGGCCCAATAGGTTATTGGTGAGGGCCGCAGGTAAAGTGAGAGGGCAGGTAGAGTGACAGGTGTAGCTCTGAGCAGAAAGGAGGGCAAAGCTCTGGATCTGGTAACAGGTACTCTCTGTCCTTTACCGGACTTTGTGAATGCAGCTGTGTGCAGAAAAGAGCCATAAGGGTGGATTTTAAACACTAAGGTAAGGCGGCTTTAGGAAAGCTTTCCATTTCTAAACGAGATGGATGATTTGTTACCAGTTTGCAGATTTGGCAACGATATCTGATGTTGTTTTGAGTATTTCCTGTTCATATTTTAAAGCAGTTGTACTTTTGGACAATGAATCATATTGAAGTTTTTAGACAACTCTTTTGCTTTTACTACATTTTTTTATCTTTTCTTGTGTCGCCTGCTGTGCGTGATTACATGCAAATGTCACAAACCCTTTCAAACAATAAGGAGGCTCAGCAAACTTATTATTGCTGTACATCACATTAACATAAATATAGTTGGATACGTATCCATAAAATCATATGACTTTTTGTTGACAGAGCAGTTTGCACAGTGAAAGGACACGATGTCAGTGTGTGCATGCATGCTGAGGGGGGGCTTTTGTACATTTAGCTATTGTTGACCTCACTCACGTTGCCCTCCCACCTGATGAGGGCTCAGGGACCGTCTCTGACAGTCAATATGGTCAACACAATTAAAGGGGCTTGTAGGAACTGAGAACATGAACCCACAAAGGAGGAGAGGTCAGAGGTCAACTCTCCATTATTTCAGTTGACATGAACATCAAGTAATGTCTGGAATTTTGCTAAAAGTCATGCTGTATGCAAACATTTAAATGGAAATTAATACAAATGTGTTGCTTTGACCAGGATTTGACAGGCAAACTAGTTTTCTCCTTTGAACACTTTATTTTTGGCATCGTTTTAGTTTTACTTCCTAAAAATGTGTATCAAACAAATAAAATAAAGTAAAAAGTTTTTTTTTACTATGTTTGGTTTTTATACTGTCTGAAAACGTGGGAAACAGGAAGTGTTAACATACTTTTTATAGTACCAAATGCAAATGTGAGGGTTTTTGCATTATTAAAATGTGTCCATATGATCAGGAAATAGTTTGTTTTTCACATCGGTGTGAAGAAAAGTGAGCTTTTTTTACTGCAGATGTCTAGGTGACCTCTAATATGTAAAGTCTTACCCACATGAATTCAGCAGCAGAATGCTGTGTGGTGAAAATTGAAGAAACAAAGTGAAAATGCTAAAACAAAAAAGGTCCAAGTGCGTAAATCAGCAGAGACGGATAATCCAACAATATGAGATAAAACGTGTTGGACTAAGTGTGCTGCTGTTTAACCATTTCCTGTAGGGATGTCCCGATCAGGTTTGTTTCCCCCCTAAAGTCCGAGTCATTTGATTTTGAGAATCTGCCGATACCGAGTCCCTATCCAATACTTTTGATACATAAAAAAAAGGCTGAAACAGTTCCAGAATGTTCCTCATTTCTTTATTTAATTAACTTTTTATTTTAATTTTTAACAAAAGATCACTTCTGTGAGGTAGCTTGAGCAATCAAGTAATAAATAACATGAATTCTTCACTTTTGGACTTTATTGCAAATATAAAAAGTCTAACATAAAAACAGTTAGCATTTAAACTTAAAATACCTGGCAGGGGTCTACTTTGCCTCGACCCCCAAAATGCTTAGATACGTCCCTGGGCATGGGACGGAGTTTTGAAGGTGATCTGAATTGTATCAACTATATAAATACTACATGCTGATAAATTACTGCTTTATACAGGTACAAACGTGTAGTGGGATAAATCTACCTACATTTTGTTTTGTTAAGAACTTAGTTTTTTTTCTTGGTTTTTATTTTCCTGTCTTCCTGTCCTGTCTGTCTCTGATCTTCCTGCATCTCCCAGTCCTCTGGAAAAACCCCTGCCTGCTTCCTTCTTTTTCATCTCCAAGTAACTTTTTAACTTGCAGATCAAATTGATCTATTGACTGCAAAAGAAGCAAAGCGTGCGCTGCGCTGCCCGGCTGCGCCAGCGAACACGTCCACACATCATGCTCAGTTCCAGACAGAACTTACCAGAGAAAATGAATGGACACGAATGACTGTGTGTTAATTATATATTTTTTGGTTACGCCACTTAGAAACTTAGAAAATGTTACTGTGGCCGTGTGCAGAACGCAGCTGGAGTTCATGAATAATCAGCGGTCTGCCTGCCGCTCTCTGCATCTCTGCTCAAAAGAATCCCCGCTACTCTGAGTCCATATAAATAATATAATATAGGCAGAAACTGGATCTTTTTAGTTAAAGGCATCAGGGGAGCCTGACAACCTTTAAGGAGAACCAAGTTGCTCTCCTGTAATTTGAACCCAGTATCTGAGTCCGGATCAGGGCTTGGATCGGGAAGTAAAGCCTGAGTCCCGATCGAGTCTAAAACCACGTGATCGTGGCCGATTTCCAAGCATGTGATCGTATCGGGACATCCCTAATTTCCTGTCTTTCATTGCATTTAAAATGGACAAACTGTATGCTTTTAGCATTTTTGACTCAAAACCAATTTTTAACAATGACAATATTAATAAGCAGTATATATGTCTTGTTTTTATTTTCAAAGCAGCTGACTCCAGGAGAAAGCCACGACAAATTGCGGCGTGTAGACTCAAACAGGAAGTCGAGGAGTTTTAACAAACAGCCCAGCACTGGGGACTACTACAAGACTCTGGGCGACGACACGGCAGAGCCCCGTGGAAGCAAAGGCATGGCGCCGAACGAGGAGGCAAGTCGGACGTCGGTGTACAAAAAACTGTGTGATTAGCCCCAAAATGAACAAATTCTATTCTTATGTGTGAATTACTAGCATTGACTTGTGTTGTCACATATACTGACATAAACCTGGTGTTTGGATTGTGGAGGTTTATTATTCTGAGTTCTGACTGAATGCTATGGGGTTGTGTGGGCGTCTTGCCTCAAAAACGTAAAGACCGGTTCTTGGGTGTGGTTAAGCTGGCTGAACACCGACTGCAGTATTTGCCTGAGCATTGCCATTCAGCATGTTACATAATGTTGTACCTTCTTGAACTTTTGCTTTCCACCTGATGCATCATTTCCATTTCCTCTTCAGTCTCCAAGTATCTGCATAAACTCATCACACTGCTTTCATGGAATTAACTTCAATTCAGTTCAAATATACTTTATTAATCCCAGAGGGAACTTAGGACAGGAAAAATTTAAACAGAGAATCCAGGAAAAAATAGATGCAACCAAATCACTTAAGTGAACTATTTTATGTTTTCTACTTCAAGCAGTGCTAGAAATCAAAACGGCCTTTACCTTGTTGTTGTTGGTAAATAGCCTGTATTTGTATAGCGCCTTCTTAAGGTTCTACAACCCCCCAAGGTGCTCCACAACACAATCAGTAATTCACCCATTCACATGCTGGGGATGAGCTACGGCGTAACCACAGCTGCCCTGGGTACAGAGGCAAGGCCTGCCTAACACCGGCGCTACCAGTCCCTCCGACCACCACCAGCAGGCAAGGCAGGTTTTAGTGTCTTGCCCGAGGACACAACAGCAGCAGTCTCCGTTCAAAGCCGGGATCGAACGTGCAACTTTCAGATTACTGGACAACCAAACCTCCTGAGCTACTGCTGTCCCATATAGGCAGCTTGTGGTGACCAATGTACCGTACCAGAAAGTCTGTTCCTGTGGAATTTTTTAATGTTGTAATGGTCACAGAGATATGGTTCCTCCTGAGAAAAGCTGGTTTACCACATCACAGGCTTAGATACATCACCATACATTTGCAAGTCCTAACCCACTTCAACGTCTGCAATATATAAAGGCTCAAGCCACTGCTAGCACCAGCCCGACCTATTACTTACCCCAAAATTCCACTATCTCCGCTCCGCTCTGCCCCCGCTTTCCGCTGTCTATAGCTTCTGAACTCAAATTATACTATACCCGCTCTACAACGGCTCCGCTCTGGTGCCGAGACCTGAGGTGCACAAACAGGCATGCGCGAGATTTTCGAGATCTTGCGATACAGTCCGAGCAATAAATGCGGAAGTTAGATCCAAACACCCGTTGTGTGGGAGAAGCATCAAAATGAACTGTTTAATCTGCCTATCATTTGTGTTGAGAGATCAGCAGTGTTTGGATCAATAAAGTGTGACTACTTTGATAGTGGAAACTGTATTTATGGCTTATTTTTGTGCATTTAAAGTTCAACCGCCATTGATAGTTGTTAAAAGTTGTTAAACCTGTGCATATGAAACAAAAAAACACTTTTTGTTAATCGATTTATTGTGAAATAACGGAAGTTGTGCTTGCTCATTTTCCTGTTGGGCAGTTGTGATTTCTGTCCATTGACTGCAGAGGTGCTCCGGCGTCCGGCAAAAATAGAATCGATCCTATTTTTGCCGGATGGCGGCGCACTGCGCCGCACGGCCGCAGTAGTTGAACAGCTCTGATTGACTACAACGGGACCGTTTTTTCTGCGGAGTTCGTGCCGGAGCGGAGATAGTGGAATTTTGCCATCCTAAGCTTCTGCTAAGGCCACCCCGAGCTACTGCTAACACAGTATTGTTATGGGCATGGATGTAAATTGGGGGGGGGGGGGGGGGGGGGGGGGTTGGCATGTCCCCCCCCCCACTTTTTCCAAAGTCAAGTTCTGACCCCTGCACTTTTTACTATCCAAAAACAATATTACTTTATATTAAATTGACACTGGTTGAGCTCTAGGACCAAGCGGAAAACAACCATTTGTGTTGAAGCCTGTTTGTTTCCCATTAGAACATACTGTAAAAATACCCCCCACCTCCTGTGTCCCCTGGACTTCTAAATTGAAAATTACGTCCATGGTTATGGGATATTACGCCTGCCTGTGAATACCTTAGCATCGCACAGTAGGAGCTGGAGAAAGGATGTCTGGGTGTCCCTCCTGGATCTGTTAAGTTTTGGATGCAAGTACACAAAATGGAAATGATAAAAACCAACAAAATAACTGAGAGAAACTGATCAGAATGGTATAAATGCATAAAGGGGGATTGCAGAATGTCAGGACTACCTGGTTAAATAAAATAGATTTATCCAATCTAGTTGAGAAAATATGACAGTTTAAAAAGGTCTGATTCAGCCGAGACTGTTTCTACTAAATGACCAAGAAACGCAAAGTATTGATCAAAAAATAAATAGTAGTCTAAAAACATGTACACATAAAGGAACTGATTGAATTAACCGTATGAATTAACTGTGTTCAAAACAGGAGGTGCAGTATTTTATCTAAATAGACCGAATGTCCACTTCTGAAATTATTTTAAATTTTACACATCAAATTTATATTTTTAAAGCCAATTAAATCAAATGACCTTTGATTGGTGTGATGCTGCCACAGATGCAGTAGAACTTGTGCTTGGGTCCTCCTTTAAATTATTAAAGATTTAAATTTTAACATGTAATGGAAACTGTTTGCTTCCACTTCACAAACACAAAAGAATGAATGAACGGAGTCTGTTGGACTCAATGATCAGAGTCCCTGGAGAGATTTTAAAATCTCAGGAAAAAAGGTGGGGCATGGGGGCAGTGCAAGCCACAGTGAGCCAATTAAGGCCTCAAAGGGGCCCCTCCTCGTCCCAGAGGACCCCAGCAGATGGACGGGCTAATCAGCGCAAGTGGCGCGTGCCACCACGGCCCATCTGGACTTTGTCCCCTTCCCCAGCTCTCCAGGGTTTTAAAAGTAAACGGGACAATAATGATGAGCACGCGTCCCAGGAGCAACAGGGGGGAGGTGGGATCGAGTTAAATGTCACAGTTCATTAATCCACCCCCTGCCGAGTTGTGGCACGCTTCGGGAGTGTGTCGTACTCGTGCAAGAATATCACTTGCAGTGACAGATGGCAAATTTGCACGGTTTTCCCCTCGGGAGTCTTCCCCGTCTGGGGATGAGTTCATATTAGCTCACTTATAACTAAAAGGCTATTGTGCCTTTATGAGTTGATTAGAGACAGCAGGACATGGGGCGAATGCCTACATCTGTTGCTCTCAGAAGCCCCTGTGAAAGAATTTACTCGGAAGTTTTGAACAATTTAGTTGGTTCATTTTACAAGTTAAAAAAATTGGGTGGGTTTTCTGCATTTATGAGTTAATACTCTGTTAGCTGTAATTTATTAATCACAGGTGATTTTTGGGGTTTAGATTCACTGCTGAGGTTTATATTTATTGGAAGGGGTCAAAGGTTGAAATGTTTAAGAGCCACGGATTTGGGTTTGATCTAATGGCTGACGTCTGCCTTGCTCCTCCTCTTTTCTCCCAGGGTTCGGTGTTACTGGAGGAGCCCACTGAAGCTCCTCCCCCCAGTGCCGAAAATGGCACCACAGAGGAAGCCGTCCCACCTCCACCCCCACCGCCTCCACCACCTCTTCCTACAAGCAACCCAATGCCAACTCCACCTCCCCCTCCCCCACTACCCCCTGGGGGGCAAACCACCCAGAATAATGCCAGTAGCACCCCCACCAATCAACGACGACCATCCTCTTCAACAGGAAGTGAGTTTCCTTCTTTCCCCTCCTTTTATTTATTTTTATCTTTATGAATATCTTGTTTTGTCCTGAAATGGGCCGTTTCTTCCACATTATTTCTGCCTGCATACATCTTTATTCCTGGAATGCCTGGTCTTGTTGGACCAATGTAACCCCTCTGGCTGAAGATGAGTTGCTTCCCTACATTAGCATTCTAAATAACAGATTACAAATGATTGATGAAGAGCTACAGTTACCCTGAGATCAGGTTTAGTGTTCAGCCATTTCCTTAAGTGCCCATCCTGCCTTGGATGATGCACGCTCACACCACTCAAGCTGCTCTGGTTGCAGGAAATGTATGAATTAAAGCCTGCTGGATTTGTTGCATTTCACCTTGACAGTGATTGGTGGACAGTCATGTGTGGGCTTAACAGAAGATAAAACAGTAACACATCCAGAACTAATGATCTTATTGTGATGTTTTGATTTTGATATTTAAAAAAAGTGCTCGTCCATCATGGCAGTTTTACCATTAGGCATAGGTCAGCGGCCGCCTGGGGCCCCCTTATGTTGGGGGGCCCCCTAGCCCTGACCGCCGGCACCCTTGTGTTAATGCCACAGTGGACTATTCCTTTAAGATGCCGATGCACAAACAGGAAGCGATTGGTAGTCATTCCACTCCAATCCAGTTGGTGGCAGTAATGCACCAAATTATTATTTGCCAAGTGCCATACGACCACAAATAAGAAGAAGAAGAGAGGGGGGAGTGTTCATAACAAACTTGAAGCGGTAGTCAAACATTAAGCATGAAATGGAGTAATCCTTGTGGCTCCAATAAGAGAAAGAAGCAGCTTGCTTCAAAAAAGCTTTTATCTTCACTTTCAAAAGTGACGTCGTTTTTCAATGTAAACATCAAAAGGAAGCAGAAAGGAAAGACAATGGAAAATGTTTAAAGAGAGGAAAACATAGACCAAAATGAAAAATAAATAAATAAAATAAACAAAGGCAAAAGCAAAAGCACAGGAGCACTGACAGGAAGAAGAAAGCAGAACAAATATTGAAAGCAGTCAAAGGGAGGGAAAGACAGGAAAAAAGAAGAGGACTAATAAAAAGGGAAAATAACTCATGGCAGAAGAGGGGATAGTTTCGCAAATCAAGTTAAAAGTACGATTGCCGAAATTGAGTGGGGCCCCATGTCTGTGTTCGCCTTTGGCCCCCAAATTGCTAAATCCGCCACTGCGTCCATCCATCCTTTAAAAAAAAGATTAGAATGAAGACTATATTTTTTCTCCTGCGGTAAAAATATGTTCTTCTATTGCGGCTTTAGTTTTATTATCAAGCAAACTTTTGTCCAATCCTTTTAAAAGAGTGGTTCACTGAAAAAATAAACATTTTAATGATTATTTCTGATTATGATCGGTCACTCCTGAGTTTTTGATGCAGGCGGAACATGACATGGTCTCCTACACCTAACTCCTGCATTCTGATAGAAAAAATAAACAGTGAAACTCTAGGATTAGAAAAACCTGACATTCATGGACTCATCTCCCAACTGGGAAGGCTGTTGTTGGTTTAACGTCCAGGACTCAGCAGCCATCCTGACTAGTAGGAAGACAACAGTTAGCATTAGCAATTCCATCACAGGAATACTCCTCCAGGCTTGTGTTGGTTGTCGAGATGAAACATTCAAGTTGCAAGTCAGTGCGAGAGTTGCGTTGCTTTTATCCAATCTGCGGCAAGATGTCCAAATACCAGGAAATAAGATTCCAAACCCTGTCGTCTGCTGCCCCTCTGTGCTGCAGCAGACTTGTCGGTGCCAATCCAAGTAATTCTAGGCTTTTTTTGCCCCGAGTACGGCTTGCAAGGCATTAATTCTTACCAGAAGCCTCTGCTTATGCATTGATTAAACAAGTTTCCCACACCTTTCAGTTTCATCTGTTTCTTCTGCATGTTTCTGTGTTTTTCCATCCTAATTCCTGCTGGGTTCTTTTCCTCACTTCTGCTTTATCAAGGTGGGTATATCTCTGTCTCCCAGCCAGAGGGAGGGCATCTTAGACAGAACAAGAGTAAGTAAAGACCCATATTTAGTATCTAAAATAAAATAGATCATGCTGCTTCTTCCATTTAACATAGACCCCAATCCTGGAGACGTCCTTTCTGCTCCTCACTGCAGATTCGTAGAACAGATGTAGCCATTGTGTCGTTTTTTTTAACCAATGTAGAATATAGGATAGTTTGTTTTGATTTGAAATTATACTAAAATTGTCTTTATTGTGTAACGTTCATGTGAAAGCAAGCACAAGTGAACTAGACATATGTGATTTCTATCGACTAAAGTAAATTGTGGTGTTGGTTAAGGTATAATTACACTTCTTAAATGATCTTTACTTTCAGATATAGTTTTCAAAAACACTCAGCAAACACCACAAAACTGCCTCTTAAACGTTTGTGACTAATTGGAAACCTGTTTTCCAAGAAACACAGGAAATGAGTTTGAATAGGAAATGTAGCAAATAAAACAGGACATGCGGACAATAAACACGCAGAGATAGAAAATACGATTTTAATGGAAAGTCTGCTTTCTTCAAACCTTGATTTCTTTGGAAATGGGTCACCATTTGCTGCATTTTCAATCTGACTGTGGATAGTCTGGCTTGTTTCTGAAATGGGCTAAATTGTTTAGAAATATAATGAAAATGTGTTTTTCTTTAGAAATGTCAAAGTAATCTCAATCTTTTGAGAGGCAGAGGATGATCTGAGGTAATTTAATTATTGAACGTAAGAGAAGATTAAGACCTTTATCAAGAAATTGTGTGAGTTTTCAGGTTGTCAAGGTTCTTTTTTTACTATTTACTTTAAGAAGGCATAAAATATTAGAGTGAGAATGTACTTTGAGATGGCATATGTTCTAGGAAATGCTCAGAGGAGATGAATGGGTTGTATTCTACTTAAACAAGGATGTAAATTGAGCCTCAGTTACAATTTAAAATAATTTAGCTTTACAGTAATTAGATGGTTGGGTGGTTCTTCTGTTGGACCAACATGTCCTTTTAAATGGGATAAATTTTTACCGTGCTTACTGCAGTGAGCTTTGTGTAATTAAAGTATTTGTTTCAAATCTTTGACTAAGGCAGTGAAGAAGCCGTATGCAGATCTGAGAGCTTCAGATTAAATTACAGTTCAGGAGTTTGAAACCATGACAACAAACCAGGATGAGTCAAGCTGATGGAGCAATGCTGAAGATGGTTAACTGTCCAGTCAGTTGGTCAGTCAGTCAATCAGTCAGTCATCTCTACATTGATTTTCCATTTCTTATTGAATAGTCTGGTTGCAGAAGAAATGGATCATAGCTCCTCCGGGGTGAACCCAAGAAGCATTTTTAATCCCTCTAGTGAGCTCTTGGTCTGCTCTAAAGTCTCCACCTACTGTCCTGGTCCTGATCAGATGCTCAAACCAACTCAACTGACCCTTTTGAATGTGGAGAAGCAGCAAATAAGGAGCCTGAGCTCCACCCTGATGACCTTGCCTCATCTCTAAGGCTGATCATGGGGTACTTTTTGGATGAAATTCCTCTCAGCCGCTTGTAGTCCAGATCTGGTTCTTTTGGTTGGATCCAGATGAGGTGAACATAGACAGAGCAGTAAATCCAGAACTTCTGGCTTAGCTACAGAGAAATGTTCTCAGTGTTACAGAAAATGACCCGATCTGTCTGCCACCATCACTCATAGTCAAAACTCCAAGATTCTTGAGGCAGCAGCGTGCTTTTGTCCCAGAGGGAACCTTATTTAGTTAAACACCATTCTGGTTCTTTCATAAGCAGTTGTGAACCTCGCTAGTGCACACTGGAGATCAGGGCTTAAATACACCAACAGAATCACATCATCTGCATAAGGTTTTATGTTTGCAAACAGAATGAGAGGATTTTTCAAATCTAAAGCTAGCAGATGTAGCTGCTTGTCACTGGGAAGCTTACACAAAAGGCTGTAATGGAACTGAACCCGGAGCAGAAAGCCATTATGAGAAGCTATTTGTTGTACATTCTGTCCCCACCACACCTTCAGCCTCATTCAAACCAAGTGACTCCATCAAACTGAATTTATCCTGCAGCAGAAACTCAAACAGTTGTAGATGTTCCACCTTCAGCCCGCTGGAACACAGCTCACTATGGGTCGTTAACTGTTCTGGATTTCTGCTTTAAGGAATTGCCCAGAAGGCCCGGCAGCTATACTGATCTACATGCATGTTTTCACGAAGATTTTATTCCATTATTTATTTAACTTAAACTCTGTTTGCATTTATTAAGTATCTTTTTGTAATTTAGAAAGTGTGAGTTGAAACTGTGTGTCGGGTTTTGGAGGTTTGTTCCGACAGGCTGAGGATTCAGCAGCGACGGTGCGTTCGTGTGTTTGTGTGTTAATTCCTGGCCAGCTTTCCAGTGGCTTGCTGTCACTTCCAGTTACTGGTGATTCCTTTAGATTTCCCCCAACTGTGTTGATGGCTCTTTAATGGAAAGCTGTTCTCTCCTCCCCGAGCGAGACACGGAGAAAAAGGGAGAGCGTGAGGAAGGGTGGCACGCAAGCGAGTCTTTGTGTCCACATAGCTCGTTGTGGTTGCCGTGACGGGGAACACTTTTACACGAGGACTTTTATCCGTACAGGAAAAAGGGGCAGAGTAAACAATGAGGGACTGAGGATATTTGCTTTATTGGAGGTTTACATTCACTCAAACAGGTGAGGCAGTTATTGTTTCTTTAGATGCAGTAAAAATTTCTAGATAGTTTTGTTTTAGAGACTTTAAATTAGCAAAGTTAGCACAAAATAGATTCATCAAAATGGTTTGAAATTATGTTTTATAATAATTTATTTGGTTGGATTTAAAAACCATGCTAATGTTAACAGGTGTCAGTAAAAACTAGATGAACTAGATCTGTTTTCTTTATATGAATATCACGCTGTAAAAAAGTTTTAACAAGGAATACTGTTACCCTTTTATTTCTTAACAAATCCAGATTAAGTCCTGTTAGATGCGGCGATGATAAGAGTCCCTTTATTAACATTACTTATTTCATTATTAAGCATTAATAAACAAAGGATCCCTTTATTAACATTCCTGACGTTAGCGACCAAGAGTCCTTAAGGTTAAGGAGGTTCTGCTTAGTAATGCATAACTTTAAATTGACATTAAAGTTAAGCTGTTAACACTATTTAGTAGTTTATTAATGCTTAATAATGCACTAACATTAATAAAGGGACCCTTATTGTAAAGTGTTACCGGTGTAGTTTTTTGTTCTTTGCTCCATGAACAGGCTTAAAACTCACTTTAAAAGGCAACTTCATTTTAGTCAAGGAAGAAAAAAAACAGTTACTAGAACCATACTAATATAATACATAATAATAATAATAGTTTTTTTTTTCATTTAGACTCCTAGCTACACCATGAGTATATTTCTTAAGTCACCTACTTTTCCAAAAGGAGAAAGCTCACCTTTAAATCCAAGCTACCTTCAGGTGTTACTAATGCAACTGTGACCTAATGAGAGCGGTTTTAATCTGAAACACAACCTCGACAGATATTCAGATAGACGAGATAGAAACACACGTACAAAGAAGCCGGCATCACGTTGACCTCCCATCCTTACTCGGCATGCTGCAGGTCAGCATTGTTACCTGACTGACTGGATAAAATATTTATCGCCGAAATGCCACCCCCCACCCCCACCCCCACCCCCACCCCCCCCATCTTTCTACCTGGTTTCACTCGTCTGCTCTCTCCTTTTGTCTGCAGGCACAAAATCATTCAACATGATGTCCCCCACCGGTGACAACTCGGAGCTGCTGGCAGAGATCAAAGCAGGGAAGAGCCTTAAGCCTACGCCACACAGTAAAGGCTACACCACTGTGTTTTCCAACAGCGGACCCACAGGCAACAATGTAGGTCCGACTCATGGAACAGGCAGTGAAAAATGTTGAAGTGCTGAATCCGTTATGTCAGCTGTTACAATAAAGAGAGTGATTAATGGTTGACTGGAGTCACACGAACACCTATGAATTAACTCACTCGTAATTTTGGGGATTTCAGTAACTTTTAAGTTAAAAGCATCCATCAAATGTCACCTTTTGACTCTGCATTTCTTGGTGCTTCGCTGTCTTTCTATCCTTTAAGGGGACTACCACACCTCCAGAGTCATCAACCCCACCAGCCAAACCACCCTCCCCTCCACCATCCAGTACGCCCGTCACCTCTCCACCCGTCACCTCTTCACCCGTCACTCCAAGCCCCAGCCCCAGCCCTAGCCCCAGCCCCACCGGCTCTGGATCCTCCAGAGGTATGTCTGCCTCTGTGAGCTCCGACCAACTGTCCTCCAACTCTGTTGTTAACGGAAATGACAGTGGTACCTCAGCGACAGCCGAGTCGGCAAGGAAGATGAGCCTGGCTGATGTTGAAGCGCTGGTGCCCACTCTCGACGAGCAGGGGAAAGCCATCCCTGAGTGGAAGAGGCAGGTGATGGTGCGAAAGCTTCAGGTCAAGATGCAGGAGGAGGAAGAGCACAAACGCAAGGTAGGTGCTGTTGCAAGGCTGTAGCAAGTCAGCAAAGGTTGCTGTGATTTGGCTATTCCTTTTGTGGTCCGTTAACTCTGAAATGTCCTGAAAACTATCATTTTTGTGGCATTTTTGAACAGCTGACTCAAAGGGGATAGCTAGTTTGAGTTTGGATTTGATGTGATGGTGAACTTTGGGGTCGCTGTTGATTTTATTTTAATTTTGTTCATGATATAAACCTAGCTTAAAGGGTAAAAAAACAAGTACTCAACTTCAAAGTTAAACACGTTTTTTTAGTTTTAGGGCACATGCATCTTAAGAATGAACATCACATCAACAGTTTCACAAGCCTTTCAGTCATCATACATGTTTTTGTGTTTAGAATCAATGACATAAATCACTGACTTATTTTTGGGTGAATTAATACTATATGAAAGAGTTTGGTTATTGATTTAGTAACACTGGAACAGATATGCACCCATGAGGAGTTTTATACTAGTAAAGCATCTAACAGGTTCAAATCAATAGAGGTTCTGAGGTAAGATGAACAAAGAATTTAGGTCAAATCTTTCCCTTTCATAAATAAGTTGCTAAATGTTTAAATCTGTTTGCTTTTGCATGGTTATGTTTTAATTTTCATGTTAATTTAAACAGACTCTTTGCAGTGGATTGAATTTAATCCTTGACTACCATGACCATCACAGCATTAACACACTTGACTAAAATCTAATAATCACAGTGTGTCCTGGTGTTTGGTGATGGACTTTTGTGGCCTCAAGTTCTTACATGCAGATTCAGTGGTGTGATGCCCTGCCCATTCACACTACAGGTTCTGAACAATAGTCTCAATAAAATTCAAACTACAACAGCCGAGTAGCAAAATGTTGCAGCTAAAATACCTTCTCTCGTTTTGTCTTTCCACCGTGGATAGTTTGCTCGTGGACCTCTGATTCCACATTAGATCTTATATTTTTATTTATTGGCAGGTTGATCTCTTTCACAACATCTGCACACCCAACTTGGTTTCTCCCTTTGGGGTCAAGGAGTAAAACTTCTTTGTAGCAAGGAACCAAAAATAGTAAGGGCTGAATCCAAGTTACCCCTGCCCCATACCTGCCCCCAGATTGCAGCTTAGGCAGTGTTTCTATGTTTTCCCTTCATCCTAAGAATGAATAGTGTCCCGGTGTTTTTGTGATGTAGAGGAAAGGCAAAGATTTGGCGCTCTAGCTCATCAAATGGCAGGAAAATGCTACTGTTGGAAAGAAACTGACTAATGGAAGAATTATTTCAATTAGAGAGGTTGGGTTGACACAAAAACCATCAAAAAATCTTGTTTTCAACATTTGAGATCATTGTTGCTCTTCAAACTTTAAAAATACACCAGAGACTGTTAAAAGCTGGACAAAAAGTTAAATGTCGTTTTTAAGTATATTAGTGTTCCATTTTTCTAAATAATAAGAAAAAGCTACAGCTGATGAAAAATTGGTGTTCCATTTTTCAGTGGTGGATATTTATTGCTACCATTTGTGACTTTGAGTTGAAGGCCTAGGCTTAAAGGTCTTGTTCACAGAGACACTGTGAAGGCCAGTCTCCCCTATGTCACAGGGAAAGTTTGCATTAGATTTTGCCTTGACCAGCTTGGATTGCAACCACCAAAGGCAGTTTTGGTTCTGCATCAAAGAGAGAGCAGTCAAGTCTCTGCTAGTAGAAGCTAACCATTAGCAACTCCACAACATGGCTGAAGATGTTTGAGTCTGTGTTAGTTGGAAGTAACACACCAACATTACAGTTTTTACCCAAGAAAGAAGAGTGAACAAATGCGGCATAAGAGTTGCATTACTGTTGGCCAATCAGAGGAGAGACCTTTGCATGTCATGAATATTAATGAGTAAGACTCATAACCCTGTCGTTTTCTGCCCCCCAACTCCTCCGACAACTTTCTATCCCCTGAACCAGGAGTGCCAGAGCTTTTTTCACATAGAATGATTCACACGGCATTCATTAATACTATAGGTCTCAGCCATTTTTCATTTTCAAATGAGGCCTAAATTTAATATACATCCTGGCCTTTAATATGAAGTTACAAGACATGAATGTTAAAATACTGGATTTTTTTTTTTACCTGAAAAGTACCTTATTTTTCTAAGCTAAAAAAGTGAAACATTACTGCAGCATGCACCAGACAATGGTATACATTGTTGTTTTTGAGGAGTAATTTTATTAAGCTAGACATTACATCTAATTGTGACAAGGAATTATCTTTAAGAGAAGTGTTAATTTGTTTTTTAGCTAATAATGCTACTTTTGAGGTTTTCTGAGGACAAATGTTCATTTATAGCTCAACCACTTCATCTTTATCATAAATGAAATTTGCCAACCCAAACCACCCACCCACGCAGTTGCAGGAATGGGGCTAAATGGCAGGAGCAAGGGAAAAATGGGATTCGCCATTATGCCATAATGGTAAACACAGGATGTGGTAAGAATAAAAAATAAATAAACATTAGATTTGATTTCTGTGTTTGTGTAGCATGGCTTTAAAAGGAGGCACAAACACTAACTTATTAATAAAATGGCATGGGGGAAACTAAAGAAACACTGAGCTAACGTTGAGTAAAAGTTCGGAAATGTCGTTGTTTAAATACAAATACAGACATGCTAGAATGCTTAAAGTAATGTTGTGTTTGTACCATTGTGAGTCTGTTTAGAGTCTAATTTGTCCACCCTTACAAACGGGACAAATGACTCTCTGTTCGCTTTGATTTTAAACTACAGTAAAGAGTTTAGTGCCTGTAATGAGGCTGTGCCATTGCACCACTAAATCCATGTAAATCCTGTGTGTTGGAATGGATTTGTACTGAGACGTGTTTTAATACCAAGAACTTTCTACTGAAGGAACCCCTCCCCTCCCCCCTTCCTTTTTTTCCTTGTCCCATTGGTCTCCCTTGACTACTGATTTAGTTTGCATCAAGTGGACACTACCAACCTCAGGAATGGCACTACTCCCACACCCACAATGCCATTTTGGGCCCATTTGGAGAACTGATGACTGAAGCTGACTTGAATCGTATTGAGAAGCTAATTGAGAACCTGCAGGTGATGCATAAGGTGTCAGAAGTTGAGAAGGAACTGGAGGAACTAGAACGAGAACTTCACCAGCTCCTGCCAGTTTCTGCTGCTTTAAGTCAGGAGTACTTCTCTGTCAATCCAAAGCAAGTCCATGGTCAAGCTGAAGATCTCCCAGCTTGGTGCAGCAAGATCTCAACCCTGCTTAAGAGCATGGCAATTCTGCTGGCTACCCTTGGAGGAAAAGAGATAGATGTCTTAGACATTATATTTCCTGGATATTCCCAAGAAGGAGCAAAAACAACAAGCACAGGCCCATCTCAGATATCTTCTAACTCTGGAGTTATTGGACGTTCTCAATCCTTCTCCACTAGAGAAGAAGTGGAAAAGGAAATCAAGCAATGTGGCGTTTCGGTGAAGAACCTTAAGGCTAATTATGAAATTCAGAATCAGGCTCAGTCCACAGATGGTCATGCTAACAGGGTTTACATGCGCAAAAGGTCACTTCCTGTGGTATGCGAGTCTAGCTTTTGTCTAGAGGATGGTTTACCTTGCTCCTCAGCATCAGTCCTTGACTTCAACTCCAATGGACATTTACCTCCAGTGGAAGAAACTGTCTTACCACTTGTTGGAGAACCAGTTATCATTGCTACTCATGTTCCCAAGACGTATGCTCCCTCAGACGCAATGGCTCCAACAAATATTAAAGAGTTCAACCAGGTTCTTTCGTCTGACCCCATTTTAAATAGTGATCAACTGACACGAAGCTTGGAGGTGCAGACAGACATGAGCTATGTCCAGGAGTGTGTTGAAATGAGGAAAGAGAGAATTGTTCTTCTATTCCTTGAACACTGGCGAAAGTACACTATCTCAGAATCCTATCGGACTAAATATACAGGCAGGAGGGGGAACAACTTGGATGTTGGCTGTGAGGACTACAGCCAGTTAAGTACTCAAGTTGGCGGAGAAATGCACAGTGAAGATGACAAACTGATCATGTTCATGAAGTCAAAGCAAGTCGTTGGGAATCTGATTGGCCACTGGAGAGTGATCATGAGCCAAGTGCCCACTCGTCAGATCCGCAGGTTGAGTCGTGCCCAGATGATCTACTGGCCAGAGCATTTCTTACCACACATCAATGGATCAGCTGTGAGTTATGAAAGTCTAACCCTTGATCTTTTCATGCTGGGCTACTTCCAGTTGCTGGAGATGAACATGTCTCGTAGTGAGAGGAAATTCCGCCACCTCTTGTGCTATGAGATGTTTGACCGCCTTGGCAGCCATAAATGGGAGGTCATAAGACAGTTTCATAAGGAAGTCATGATGGGCATTGAAAGTGGGAAACGGGACTGGGCAGATGGCTTTGAGGATATAAAGCTGAAGTATTTTGGCGACACTGATAATGGGGGTGGTGTGATGACCGCTTCTCTACAGTCAGTGTCCCCCGATATGTCTACCATGCCCATGCAGGAATCACTTACTCCCCCACCATCTCATTCTCTCCCTCCACCACCTTTGCATCCAGCACCCCCTATTGCACAGTCTACTGAACCATCATCAGCACCACAAGCTACTCCACCCACAACCCATTCAAATGTTTCTCCATCACCATCTTCTGCTGCTGCTCAGAACTGTGTGATTGACACTGATACCTCACTGGAGGGCAATGCTCAGGAGAAGGACAAATGTAAGGGGCAGATGCCATCAAATGAGTCTGTGGATTCTAATGGAGCCAGTTTAGAGAAGGACCAAATGCAGAACTCAACAACTGAAAGAGTACAACAAGCTGTGATACCACAGGGCACAACAGATGGTTCAGGGTCAGATCCAGAGAAAGACATTCCACGTGTTCGTGATGAAATCAGAGAGGAACATCTTGTTGACAAATCTCTACACAGAGATGAGCCTAATGAAGTTGCAATTAAAGTGATTTATGAGTTAAAAGAGTTTAGCAATGAGGAAATCATCCGGTACATTGATCGAAGCTTTGCTTTTTGGAAAGAAAAGGAAGCTGAACTTTTCGATATTTAACATCAAACTGAGCTTTGTCTACAGGGTCTGCTAACTTCCACGCTGAGATAGTATCACACCTTTGTCACATTTTCATCACAGTGTCATGAAAAGGATAAGCTACTGACTTTTGCAGCTTCATAAGCTTGAATGAAAGCATATATTCTGAAGTGTGTTAAACCAAAGTCTGGACTGATTGCCATCATGTATTGCTTATTGGAAATTGGAAAACAAAGGTATAAAAGAAAATATTTGCCATTCAAAATTTCATTTCTGTTATTTTAAATTATGTTTACACCAGGGGTCACCAACCTGGTGCCCATGTGCACTTAGGTGTCCCTAGGGACCACATGAGGTGCCCACAGCATCTTCTAAAAATAGCATAACTTACTATATCACTGACCGGAGGTTGTGTTTTTTTCTGTACTTTTTTCACATTTGCATTAACAGATATTTTAAAATGTTAAAGTGGTTTATTCTACTTTAAAAGTCAGAATTGTGGGATTGTATCAAACTGGTAGCCTTTCAGCTCTCCGCTTAAAAAGGTTGGTGACCCCTGGTCTACACTTGGCATAAATTTGAGAAGAGTTTAGGCTTTTTGCTGTTAAACAGTCTTGCAGTCTTCAGACAGCAGGGACAAATGTTGGAACCACAATGGGTCATTTTGGAAGCTTCTCACTGATCATCTCCAACAATTTTATTTTACCTTCATTGATAGTTTTACACTTACACATGCTCCATCATTCTTCAGCTTTTCCATTAGCACTCTTTCCCTACCTTTTGTTTATGGGATTTTTGTTAAAATGGACCCAGAAAATAGACCCAAATGTAGTGGACATTTGGGTCTATTTTCTGGGTCCATCCTGATTGAGAAGTGGTTTCTAATCTAATACATATCAGGGAGGCTATTGTTTTTTATATGAACTATTCCTTCTCATCCTGTCACAGCCACACTCACTGGATGCCCACTGAGTGTGGCTGTGGCTTGGGGAAAGAGCAGGTTACTGCCATCCAGAGGGTTACTGGTTCAACCCCAGTTTCTCCCACCAACTAAAGAACAACAATGTATCTGCTTTTCTGTCAGTATTTGGTTTAAGGTGTTTAGCAGGCTGTTTAGAAAGGTTTCCATTTGTGACATCACAAACAGGGAAATTGGACTAGAATCACCCCTCACATGTAAGAGAAAGGTGTTGCTGGAGGAGCAGCGGCTCTACTCTTAGCCCTTCTCAGAAATCTGAGCTTCTCAGCTCATAGCAGCTAGAGTGGGGGTTGGGTGGGCGTGGCCAGCTCCAGCTTGTTTGCTTAAAGTGACAGAAACCTGAAAGGGCTCATTCTGGCAGGTTTGGAGATTTTCAAGAATTAAACTGCTGAGATTGCTTTATATGACTGATTTAGTTCAATGAACCTCATCAACATGGTTTCATAGACCGTAGAACTATTATGTCTCCACCTCCCTCAGCTGCAACTGTCTCAGAATGTTCCCATGAATTCTCAGAGCCTTGCTCTCACATGTTCAAAAACATTTGCAAGACAAATGTTCTCTCAGGAGTTACAAGCCTTGGGAATCCATCTCAAACTGACTTCTTTTCAGTTTTCTTGAGTTGGGAGAGGATGGTAACTGAAAAGTAAACAAAATGATGACAAACTTAAAAAAAAATCAAGACTTTTTGTGACTAAACTAGGGTGCGAAAATATGCATAACAGTGAAAATATCTCAACATTATTACATCCTATTCCACAAATTGTGGACGGTGCGATGGTGGCACAGGAGTTAAGTGCTCGCCCCGTAATCGGAAGGTTGCAGGTTCGAGCCCCGCTCAGTCTGTCGCTGTGTCCTTGGGCAAGACACTTAACCCACGTTGCCTGCTGGTGGTGGTCGGAGGGACCGGTGGCGCCAGTGCTCGGCAGCCTCGCCTCTGTCAGTGCGCCCCAGGGCAGCTGTGGCTACATCGTAGCTCATCCCCACCAGCGCGGCTGTGTCTGCAGCTCACCGCTCCCCCAGGGGATGGGTCAAATGCAGAGAACAAATTTCGCACACACATCAGTGTGTGTGACAACTAATGGGACTTTAACTTTAACTTTAAATGACCTGGTAACTTATAAAACATGCTGGATCAGACCAGAGAAATGCTCTTGATACCAACTCTGATGTTCTTACTTCACTTTTCATTGGATTGAATGCAGTTGTTGAGGTTTACAAATCATATATGTATTAATATTTGTGTATATACTGTGTGTCTTTGGGGAAATATCTTTTAAAACTCAATTATTGTACATTTCTGAATTTTCTTTAAGTCTGCAAATGTTATTGACCTTTCTTTAACGGTTTTATTCTTTAATTTGTGTTTTTGTTATTTAATTTGTTGAAAATAAAGTTTGTAGACTTATTGTGTTTGTAGGATTTCAGTAGTTCTTTTCCACATATGAAACCATTTTTATACGTTTTAAAGATACTGTTTCCAACATTTGGACCTTCAAGCTACTTTCAAACCCAGAACTGTTGAATGTGAAATCCTTTGGTGTGCTGCCTCTAGCTGTAGAGAGCCAATCTATTCTCATAGTGTCTATTCTGTGGCATCAAGATTACCTTCAAATAACCCTCTTAGTGCCTCCTGCTGTCATTCTATCTGTGGCTCACAGGCACCATAAGGAGGTTACAGCGAATCTTCATCGCCTCACGGCTCAAATGGAAGTCAGTCAATTGGTAGATTTAAAGCCTTTCACTTGACAGATTTTAATTTTGGTCCGACTCTGAGAATATAAATAACGTTGTCATGGGGATTAGGTCAGCAATGCCATTCAGTAAACAGCAGAACTTGTTTAATGCTGTCAATGAAGGAAATTTGACCAAATAAAAGTCAATTTTATGGGATTGAAGGCAACAAACTCAATAAATAGTATTTTCTTTAAAATATTATAAAAATGTGCTGCAAATCCTCCAAAAAAAGTTCTCATTATTGCTGTTCTCAAGAATCCGAGGGGTCAGATGTGGTGGGAATTTTTATTGTTAACACCAAATATAATTGTCATGAAATTTGTGGCAGTGGGCTGTGAAATCCAGATTGGAGCCGTTTTACAAAGACCGATGTCCACTTTGGGTTTGGCTGTCCTCAGACTAGCCATTAGCTCATCAGTCCTTTATGAGAAAAAGTTAACATGCTAAATATGTTAATTTTTTTCTGGACTGAAATTCCCAGGGGAATCATTAAAAATTAACCACAAAGGTAAACTTAGTGATCCGTGTCAGCAAGTGAAATCCTTTGGTCAGAGGAATGTAAAAAGGGTAATGTATCTGAGGCAAAGATGAGAAACCCAAGCTGCTTGCTCTCTCTCTCCCTTCCTTCAGCTCTAGCTCCAGCTACTAACCCGAAAGAGGGAAAAGGATCCAGTTACGTTTCCAGCCCAATGAAAACATCGTGTAAAACACCAGTCTGACCGCGTGAAAGCTTTCGGTTTATCTCCAACAAACCAGGAGAACACAGATTGTTGGCTTTTGTTTGCTTCTTTTTCCAATTCGTACACCAGTTTCAACAATGTACTTTGTTGGGTGTTGAGTCACATTTGTCTCCTACAAAGAATATTTGTTTAAAAACTGACATTTGAGAGTTTGAGTAAACAAAAAGGTTGGACTCGTGTTTCATCACAGTTTCTCTCTGCAGGTGCTCGCCTGCTTTTTCACAATGTGGTGAGGATTTATGAAGCACTGTGCAAACACAAAGACACCTCAGTATCACTACTGACTCACTGTGATAAATGTATTCTTACAGCCACTCCAGGGCAACAATAACATTAATATCTGTAACTTCTGTATGTTTAATTAACTGTAAAGAATGATTTTTTTATTAAAAGGTGGATGTTTTATGAACTTTGGAGACTATTTGAGGGGATACAGCTGGGGTTTATGCACTAGACTGACTGGTTTGGGTCCCCATCTCTGCCCTCTCTGGACCCTTTTGTCTCCCTGCAGGCTGAAGAGGAGGCAAAGCGCCTGGCGTCAATGCCGGCCTGGAGGAGAGACATAATGAAGAAGAAGATGGACGAGGAGAGGTGAGTAACGATGCGGTGTTGTTGCTGCTTTACAATCCTCACACATTTTAACAAGAAAAACAAAATGCATCATTTCTGTAGTTTGGATTTTCACTCATCTGCAACTTTTACTGCAGTTGCATTGAATAGTTCCTGCAGATGTGTTTGAAAGTTGCAGCTTGGTGCTGAAATATAAGACAAAAGTCTAAAGAAGCAAAGATTATCAACTCTCTTGACATCTGCTTGTAAACAAAAGTAAATATTTAAGAGTTTAGATCAATTACACCGAGAAAAGGGTCAAGTTCAAGCACAGATCCAAGGACACACCAGAAATATTTTTAAGTTAGAGAATTTCAGACAGATTTTAGAGTTTTGTGTCTTTATATAATCTGACAAGGTAGCCTATATAAGTGAATATATAGTCTGGCCACAACCTATAGACAGATCTCAGTCAAGGGGTGGGATCTGTTGTCTTTCAAACTGCCTCTGCATTCTACTGGATAACAAACAATGTGACATACTCACCACTAGGGATGTCGGTCACCGGGGCAGTCTGCCATACTTTGTTGAAGAAGATGCAAATACATCCTTTCCCTACGTAGACTTGAGTACCTCTTTCTGCCTTTGACCCAAAGAAAAGCCCAATTATAAATAGTTCAAAGTTGATGCCAAAGCCGTTTCAAATGATCCATTGTCATCTTAGTTTCATTTAGCCACAGCAACATCCTGTCCACTAAACTGAGAGCGCTGTGACCGGCCAGCTACCAGACTGGCCGGGGCGGCAGATGTTCCAGTGGAACGTGACTAGACCGACATTTTGCTTCGGCAACCGGCGGTCTTAAAAATCCAAAACTTTGTGAAACTATTTTCAGCTCAACATTATCCTGTTGTGCTGTCCGGTTGTGTGCAGAGTCGGTTGGAAAGACAGATTCTGCCCCTAGGACTGAGCTCTGTCTATGGGTTGTGGCCAGACTATATATTTACATGTAGGATGGTTTGCCACCAATGAGAGGAGAGTTCTCTCATTTTAATGACCCAACAAACATACAGATGAAGTTCTACATGTTTAGAAATTAGAATTATCCGAAAGATTTAATCACCACTGTTTTTCATGTATGTTTGATATCTCATTTTCTTTTACATGATGTAGATTAATGACAACCCTGTAAAACTAAAATAACTGCCTTTTTAAAAGATATTTACTCTTTTTTTTCTTGGTTTTCTCCTCCTGATGTGACAGGGAACAAAAAAGGTAAGGATATCTATTTGTCTCACACGCTGACTTTAGTTTTAAAAATAAATCAGTTAAATTGCTAAAACACGTGAACAAATTTAATTTTTAAGCTAATCAAAAGTAAATTAAGTATTCAAGTGGAGAGACAACACATTTTTATGTAAAGCCCCATTCCCACCTGTACCGGGTCGGCCCGGGCCGGGTAGCCCCAGTCGGACCCAGCCTGGCCCGGTTGATTCCACACATCCTTGCCTTAAGCCCATGTGGGCTGATTCTACCCACCAATCAGAGGCTTGCTCTAATGGAAGGTGTGAATGGGCTGATTCTACCCACCAATCAGAGGCTTGCTCTAATGGAAGGTGTGAATTTGCTGTCAGCAGTGGGCGTGTTGGCCCTGGTCGGCCTGAAGCAGTACCCCTCGGGAAGAGGGCCGAGAATGAGCCTTGGTTGGCCCGGGAAAATTCCAGGCCACCCAGATATGTAAACAACCTACGCTACCCGGCCCGGGCCGACCCGGTACAGATGGGAATGGCCCATAAGAGGCCCAGTTCCATAAATTCTTCAGCTGGATGTTTAGAAAGTTGAGAAGTGTGTATGCTGAAGTAAAAGATGTGTTGATTTTAAAGAAAAGAGACAGACAAGGACAGAGCTATTAAAACTATACATTTATAAAAGCCTTGGTTTTGGGCATTTAGAGGGTTAATTTGGCCTTGTTCCACCTGCAGGAGATAATCACTGTCAGTTAGGGCTTAAAAGATTTTTCTTGGCCATCTGGCTGTTCAGATTTTAATTTTCAGTTCCAATCCAGTGGCGCCCCCAAGGGGAGGCTAAGGCCCCCTCTGGAAAAAATCTTGCCCCCACCCCCACCCCCCCACCCCCCCAGAAGGCTCTTCTCCACTTTAATAAATCATGTTCATGCTTACATAAACCATAATTTAGTCTTCTTTAGCCAAGACAAATGTAAAACACAACAAAATAAATAGTGGGTTTTTTGCAGATTTTCAAGACTACATATAAATATAAAGATGTTGTTTTTTTGGATGCTTTAAGATGGCAATGGGAGAAATAAGCTGTTCTAAATGACTAAATAAATGTTGAAATAAAAATAGCTGAAATAACAGAATTGTTCTTTTTTCTGGAAAAATACATTTTTTTTTTTAAATCTGAAGTAGATGTGTTGGAGATACATTTTTTGATGACTGAGAATGAAAGGGCGACGCACAGCTAAAGGCTAAACGCTCCTAGAGTTATGGCGAGGACTAATTTGATGTGCCACCCTAAAGTTCACCGGCCCCCTCATCAAACATTTCTGGAGACACCACTGTTCCAGTTGTCTCTTGTGTAACATGGCACTATTTTCCACATGTAAATACATTTTCTATAGCTTAAAAACACTGTGACAACAAATCTCACCAAGCGACAGGCAAACCTCATCGCTGATGTTGCAGATTTTCCACATTTTCCCTAAAGCCAGAGATGCTGACAGTCAGATAATGTTGATTTAAAAATGAGGGGATGTTAAACCCTAAAGGATTAACATAAGTTTCTAAAACATTACAAAGGACGAATCTAATGGTTACATTTGATGTTTTTTGTGGGTTTGTGTAGAAAAGCAGAACAGCAGGCCAAACAGGAGAAGGAGAAAGAGGAAAAGATGGAGCTGGAGCGACTACGAACCCTGGGCTACGATGAGACCAAACTGGCCCCCTGGCAGAAGCAGATCATTCTGAAGAAAGGGGAAATAGCCAAAAAGTGAACTGGATTGCGTCCCTGTCCGCTGTTCTACACCGTTCTGCGCTGCACCCTCGCTCGTGTCACATCCTCTAATCCACACTGAACAACAGACCGTGGAGGAGAGCTTATCTAATCTGGTTTCTGGGTGAAGCGCAGCAGAACGATCCTCCTCCTTTACGTCTCAGGGACGCATACGCTCTGTCTTTTAGCACAACGTTTCTGACATGCACTGACTCTTCCCGCTGAAGCATTTGTTAAAAATGCACAAAACTTCAAATATTTAGTATCTTTGAGACTTTTCTGCAAATCACTAGAGGGTTTTTCATAGAAGACCGATTAGTCGTGCTATAGGGATTAAAAGTAACACTCAAGCATCTGATTGCTCCAAGTTTGTGTCATTTCCACTAATTTTCCTCCTCAGCACAGGTTTATTTTATGATGAGACAACGTTTTGTGTAAGGAGCGTCAAACCTTTAGCATGTTTCCATCACCACGTTATTAAATCAAGCTCTAGAAGAATTTGTTGTACTTTTTTCCAAAATGATCCCTTTCTTTAGTTAATTCTGTGGACTTTGAAATAACAAAAGCTGATGTAGAAGAGTAAACTGTTATTTTTCCTGGAAAATGAGGCAAAGGTCCAGTTTAGTTTTCTAAAAACGTGACCAACTGGGTAGGATGTGTGTATATGTGTGTGTTGCACGACAGACACAAAGCGCGTTGTAGTGTGATGTTCAATTGGATCTTCGGAATAACTTTGCAAAGCACCTTCCAAGAGTTCTTCTTCTCTGTTCCGGCTTGTGTCCCACTAAGCTGGACGATAAATCTTTGATAAGCAGATCTGTTTACACATCGTAGAGGTCTCTCTGTCCGCCACAAACCGGCTTACAAAAATATAAGGTTCCCTGTGCAGTTTCAGTACAAAGATGCCTCACGGAAGGTAATACATGTGCAATGCTGTAGAATCCTCTTTAGATGTTTTTTTGTCCAAATTCTTTGTTCGTTTTCTTTTATTTATTTTAAAAGTTGGTTGAGGATAGACTCGTTGGTTTAGGGTTTATTATCACGTAGTGACAAATCGGTGGTGAATATTTGGAGCTAGATGTTAAGTTGTATCGGTGCGTCGTTAGAAGACTCAGAAACTCTTTCCTCCGTCCGTCTGGGTTGGGTATTTTTCAGATATTAGACGTAAAGTGTCTCTGTGAAAGATGAGGGGCCTCGTTGATCATTTTGAATTATTCTGATTTACTTCTCATCAGATGCCATATGATATTAAATTTAAAAGTGATGTGAATGTCATTGCCATTTAATTTTCTATGCATATGTATGTCTACACGCTGTACATAATGACCCTCAGAATGTTGTCATTTCAATATTTCCATGTTGTACTCCACCTGGCTTCGATAGGATGTTGGCTTCATCTCAAAATTATATTTTCAGACTGTTAAAAACAAACAGAATAAATACTTGATCGTCAATTTTGTTGGATTTTTGTGTTATTTTGTTATTTTTCATTAACAAAAAAATTCATTATAATCTTTCTGTTTTAACAAATTATTTAAAATATCACTGTTATGGCCGATATAGTGATACTAATGCTTCTAAAACCAGCAGATTTTGTATAGAATGAAGATTATTAAAGCTAAATTTGTTACACACACACACACACACACACACTCTTAAGCTTCTGAGATGATTACAATCACTGTCTAACCAAATACACATCACCCCCTCACCCTCTGAAGCAGATAAACAATGGAAACAAGATGGACAAATATTGCTTGTTAATATCGGCCCAGTTTTATTTATCGGATCGATGCCGATATGTTTAAAAATGACTAACATCGGCAGATACCGATACTGATGCCGATATATTGTGCATCCCTAATTTTAAATGGTCCATAAAGCCTTGAGCTTACATTTATTTCAAGTTGTTCAAACTCACTCTGTGACTCTTGTGAATGTAAAACACATTTTTTCACCACTAGGTTAGAAACTAAAATAAATAAAACATGTTTTTTTTCTTCTGGAATTGTGACAATTACTCATTTTTTTCCTAGTTTGTCACATGAATCTACATATTCATAAGAATCTGCTCACAATTATTTTAGATATTAAGATGCCCATAATACTTTAATACATGCAGACATGGACAAAGTTGTTGTTGCCCTTCAGTCAATGAAAAAAAACCCAATGGTCACAGAAATAACTTTAATCTGACATTTAGTTAAAATAATAAACTAATGAAACAGGCCTGGACAAAAACGATTAACTTAATATTTTGTTGCACGACCTTTTGAGGCAATCACTGCAATCAAATGATTCGTGTACTTGTCAATGAGACTTCTGCACCTCGGCAGCTATTTTGGCTCACTCCTCTGATCAAACTGCTCCAGTTGTCTTAGGTTTGAAAGGTGCCTTTTCCAGATGGGTGTGTTTCATCTCCTTCCAAAGATGCTCAATAGGATTGAGGTCAGGGCTCATATGGCCACTTTAGAATAGCGCAATGTTTTCCTCTTAGTCATTCTTGGGTGTTTTTAGCTTCATTTCTGGGTCATTGTCCTGTTGCAAGACCCATGACCTGCATTCTGGCACTAGTCAGCACATTTCTCTCTAGAATCCTTTGATAGTATTGAGATTTCATGTACCCTGCACAGATTCAAGACACCCTGTGCCAGATGCAGCAAAGCAGCCCAAAACATGACAGCGCCTCCTCCGTGTTTCACAGTAGGGCCAGTGTTCTTTTCTTGATATGCTTCATTTTTCCATCTGTGAACATAGAAGTGATGTGCCTTGGTAAAAAGTTCAATTTTTGTCTCATCTGTCCATAGGACATTCTCCCGGAAGTGTTGTGGCTTGTCAACATGTAGTTTGGCTTTTTTATTATTTGTTTTCAACAATGGTCGTCTCCAATGTAGTCGACGTTGACTCAAACAACAATGGATGGTGCGATCTGACACTGATAATCCTCAAGCTTGAAGTTCACCTTGGATTGCTTTAGAAGTTTGGGCTCTTTTGTAACCATTTGGATTATCTGTCTCTTTGATTCCTCATCAATTTTCCTTCTGCGGCTGCAACCAGGAAGGTTGGCTACAGTACCATGGATCTTAAATGTCTGAATAATATGTGCAACTGTAGTCACGGGAAGCTCTAGCTGCTTGGACATGGTCTTATAGCCTTTACCTTTCAACATGCTTGTTAAAAAGAAAAGACAAATCTTTCCTTTGCTTCCTCTGGTCCATGTTGAGTGTGGTGCATACCATGTCACCAAAAAATTGTGATGTGTCCGATGTGTCCAATGTGTCGACGCTTCGAAACGTGTGTCAGGTATCCAGGAAGATTTTTTTGTGAAGCGCGTGTCGAGGCTTGTGTTGATTACATAAGCAGCGACGTTCGAGGCCTCGTTGACAGTCGGTACCATTTGACCGATTCAGGAACTGGCTCGCCGGTTTGCACCGGATTCAAAATAAAAGGGGCAGCCAAACACTGCTGATTCCCCTGTCGCATTGTGCTGTTGAGACTCTGTGTCCTGTTAGGTTCCTTTCTCTTTTGGACCAGACAGTATATTAAAAGGACAGTTTAAGACATTAAGAATATATTGCCATCATAAGCATTTATTTTTTCAGTTTAAATGTTTGCAGTTTTACTTGAATCATCCACTTGATGGCACAATAGAGCAATCAATCAAGAGTTGACCAGTTGACTGGAATGCTTCAGCTCATCATCACTACCCAATAGCATAGTGACCTGGAGCCCTGGAGCCCACGCCCACTGACTGATTACAAGATTGTAGACACCTGTCTCTTTGCTCACATTGTTTTCAGTCTTTTCTAGGGGTACCATCCTTTTAATCCAGTCCTGTTCCATAAGTTTATTTTTTAAATAATTATTTTGAAGCAATGGTTGAAAAGCAATGTCTGACTTTAATTGGTTAAATTTCATAGAATTTTTATTTATTGTAACTTTTGTCAGGTTCAAGTTGTTTGTGACCATCGTGGGTTTTTCTTTAACTGACCGGAGGGTATCAACAATTTTGTCCACGTCTGTACATTTGATTTTACTTCATTTAAATGCATATTACATTATTTTTACATGATCAACTCTGGATTTTTATTAGCTAGAAATAATTGCAATTAGGTAACTAAAATGATAAGACTCTCAAGGTAAATGTATGTTATTTAAATATTATGTACTAGTTTTATGTAGCTTCAACTGAAGTTCTGCAACATATTTTCTTCATGCAAAATAGATAAATGTTTATTAAACCCACAATTATTTTTTTTACTGCTCACAAATTTCTAATTGTTACATAGTTAAAAGCAAGTTTTTGTTGGAATAAACAAAAAACCCACGGTACAGAAACACATAAATAAAACGTGAGAAAAAATCTAAAAAGCACAACTTCTAATTTACATAGAAAGTAATGAGCACACTTTATGCGTTTTACTTATTTATTTTATTGTATTATATTTTAAAAATGTTTTTAAATGTATTTGTGTCATTGATGTAATACCTCAGATTGAACACTTGGTGACGCCAAATAGTCACTTTTTACCCTTTTACAAAGCCAAGACGTCAAAAAAATGCTTTTAATGTAGGTCAGAGAAGTTGACTGTACGTGTTCGTCTCATTTTTTTATTATTGAGGGAGACACATTTACTCTCTAAAGGTATTTAAAAACGTGTTTTTTATTAAAGTGCTAAATAATCCTAAAACAATCTCAGGTGAATGGGTGTTCTTGCTAACCTGCTTCCTGTAGGCTTGTTTTCACTCCAAAGACAAGCAAAGCCGTTGTTTACCGGTGATTTGACGGGCGCTCACCTGTAGTGACGTAAGCAGGACAGGCAGCGAACTGTGACGGAGGGCGGCGGAAGTCGACAGCCGCTGTTATCTGCTCAGCTCGTGCAGAACCGCCGGACTGACCCGAATCTCAGAACTGGGCAGCCGCGCTCGGAGGCGCACCTCTCAGGTAAGGACTCGCTTTCCTGGACTCGGCGTCTTCTCGTAGTTCGGAAGCTTGGAGATGTCTGGCAGACATTTTTCTCCCACGCGTCTCCGTCATTCTGGCGACGCTGATGTTTCAGACTAAATCCAGCGAGTGAAAACATCTGAAATGAAGCTTGTTATTTATTTACTTTAACGATCAAAACTGCTGTCAGAACCGAGGTCATGCTCTGGCCTTTGCTCCCATCTTAAGACCGTAATAACATGTTGGAGTTGGTCAGGAGGTTCGGAGGCATTCATCAGAAACAATGGACTTTATTTTCCTGTAGTTTCTAGTGTGTGTGTGTGTGTGTGTGTGTGTGTGTGTGTGTGTGTGTGTGTGTGTGTGTGTGTGTGTGTGTGTGTGTGTGTGTGTGTGTGTATGAGCCATGACTCATGGGTTAAGTCCCATAAGTTGACAACAAACTGCCTGTAAGATTTGAGTTTGGTTAGGGTTAATGTTTTTGTCCTGATTTATTAAAAGCATTTTTCTGATGTTGTAGGTGTTGAAGGACTCAGCTGCAGGACACTGTCTCGTGGTGAATCAGAGACCTGCATGGACAACCAGAACCCTCAAATGGAGACTCGCTTCTCCACGGAACTTCATATATATGAGCCGGGTGATGAAGGTTACCCCTCAGAAAGCCCTCCAGCTCCCCTGGCTGAAGCATCCACCCCTCCAGGTGAACCCCAGAAGGAGGAGGACACGGTGGATAGAGCCGCAGTGCCTCAGCAGGTAGTTTTGAGCACCAAGAGCGCCGCAGCAAAGAAGTTTGGCACCTTCCAGCTGATTCCCAAGAACTTAGCAGCGACCAGCCGACCTAAAAACCGACACCACACCACTGTGGTGATGTTCCCACTGGGACCGGAGAAGTCCAGCAATGAGAACCGCAGCAGCTGCTCAGCCCTCGAGGCAGATGCACGGTGGGAAGATTGTGAAAGTGATGGAGAGGGCTCGGCTTTCAGGAGGAACCGGAATAAGTCGTACAGAGCAGCGGTGACCAGTCTGGACATTGAAGCCATGGTGGCAGGACGAAAGGCCCCCGCTACTCTGAAACCCGTAGATGAAAATAGAGCGAGCAGCCCTGGACCCACTCGTAGCGCTAGACGCAAGGTATACATCCAAAACGTGGTGTGGCGATGTGTTTGTAGTCCTCCAAGTAACAGGAGCTGGTTTTATACGCAGTTTCAAAACATTAAAACTTTGTTTAGTCTTTTCCTTTACGTCAGTCTGCTGCCAAAGTGGCAAAGTTTGATAATGGGACATAAACAGCAGATAATCAGCCAAGAGGAGCCAATCCTCTCTGCTGATTAGTCACAGGGACAGAATGACATCCAAACATTTTTACAGAGGCTTTTGCAGGAACTTTAATCAAAAAATTTGCAATTAATATCTGTAAGTAGGAGTTGATCTTGAGACTGAATAATAAAATCAAGCTATGTCTCTCTGTAGCGAACCCTGGGGAGAAAGAGGAACCAGCGTGGATCATTCAAAGACGGTACATTCACTCTTGTGTCACTCTGTCTGCTCGGCTAAATTTGGTTACAGCACCACCCAATAGTGGAAACTTTTTCTAAACATGCATCTAATTAATCTTTAGAAGAAATGTTTGCTGTGGAATTTTTACGCAAACAAAATGGTTTGATGGAATCATTTACAAGTGTCGTTTCTTGGGAAACGGCTTGAGGAAGTGGACAAGGACCAGGATATCAGTCTTTCTGAATGACAAATGTCTGCATCCTGCAGGGTGGACATTTGTCATGAACTTTTAGACACTTCCACTTCTTTATTTATTTGTCGGTATTAGATCTTGATTTCATAACATTACAAACTAAAAACTTGTGTTTTTTAGACTAATCTTAAGATGTTGGTGCAGAAATTTCGTGTTTCCTTCTCTGTACATGTGGGATTTTTCAGGATATATTTAAATTGTGACACCGTTTGGTGTTGATTCATCCCTCAGCGACGCCGTGCCTCTATCAGGAGATCCGTGAGCGCGGGCTGCATTCCACCAGCCAGGATGAGTCGCTGGAAGACTTTGTGGTGGTGGAGCTTCCTGTAGAGGACCAGGGCATTGTGGTGAAGAGCTACAAGCAGGCACAGCTCACCTGGAGCCAGCTGCCACAGGTTAAACCTTCAGATATTACGTTCACATCAAATCCAAACGTGATAAATTCAGTTTTAGTGCTTGAATTCTGTCATTAATTAACTTTTTGTCTTGTAAAGGTGACAGAATCGGATATTCTAAAAACAATCACACCTCTGGAGAGAAAGAGACAAGAAGTAAGTAGTGGATTTATGTGCATTTTACTGATTTTTTAATGAAAGCTGTAATCTGAACACCACGGTTTCTTCAATTCAATTCAATGATACTTTATTAATCCCAGAGGGAAATTAGAGTTTCAGTACACACAATTCTGAGATCAGACATACATACATAGGCATAGATACATGACAAGAATTGGTGACTGTGGTCATTCGCAACCCGGGTCGCGCTACCTTAATAGAGATCAGGGTTTACATGAAGATTAAGTCAGGTGGAGGAAAAAAGGCACTTCAGAGTTACCCTCCACAGGGAGGGCAGCTTTGCTATGCAAAAAACACCTCAGACAGAAATACAACAGACTTCAGACATTACACAACAGAAGTGTCCACTAGGTGGGGTGGTAGGGTTGGGGACTCTCCACACATCAGTGCATGCAGCCGCGATAAGCAGCGCTCGTCACCTCCGTTTGGACAGGGGAAGGAGGTAGTTGGGTTAGAGAGCACAGTGACTCCTGGAAACGATTCAACGGCCTTCACCGGTCTCAGTCCCGCCCAGGCTGGGATAGGGAGACAGAGTTGCCATGGCGATGGTAGCATTCCACATTTCCTCTGACAGGGAGTAATCACTTCAGCCTCACAGGCTTAAGGGCACCAGATTCAGATAAGAACTTGTTTTGGGGCCAGACAGATAATTTCCTCTCTGTCTTAAAGTTCCGTTGGTCCTCAACCCCTCTAAATCTCTGTATTAGAAATAAAGCCTCGAGCTACAATAAAGACTAACTAGGCTTAAAAATATACACTTAAATATTATTGGCACACTGAAATATTGCCATATTTCATAATATGATGCTGAATATACTCAATATTTACAAGCAGTGTATCAAGTTTTTTGTTATTACACGCAAACATTCATTGCATTTTTTTTGTGTGACATGCAATTCAACTCCCGACTGCTAGGTGGCAGCAGTTTTTATCACCTTCATTCTGACAAAACGAGATTTTGTGGTAACACTGGATGTGCCTTAAAAGTAGGTCTTAAAATTGCAAATATTGTCTGGCTTTTAGTATTGCGATATATCCTATGCACAGTATTGTGATATATGTTGAATTGCCAGATTCTTGCCAACCCTCTCCCCTAGTATATAGTTTAAGGATAACAGTTTGACAATAAGAGTTTTTCAGGTTGCCAAATATTTTTGGATTCAAAATACAACATTTTTGAAGAAATTTTCTTTCTCCTCCTGTGGTCTGATCAACATCTGCCCCCTTTCCGGGCTTTTCCTCCATGACACATAAGCGTAACGTAATGTCTACACGAAGCGTAGCATGTAGCAATTAGCCACTGTTATAATGGATGGTTCCATTTCCACCTGCTGCGAAGCTTCGCGTTTAGGACGTGTCGTTCCTCTAAATTTACGATATTGATTCTATTTTTTGTTTTACTCGCTTCGCATCCAAAGCACATCAAGCTCAAAAGTTATGTTCAGCCAGACAGGCAATTCAATTCAAGTTTATTTATATAGCGCCAAATCACGACAAGAGTCGTCTCAAGGCACTTCACATAATAAACATTCCAATTCACAGTTCATTAAGCCAATCAGAAATAATGTTTCCTATATAAGGAACCAAGCAAATTGCATCAAGTCACTGACTAGTGTCATTGACTTTACAGCAATACTCATACTAAGCAAGCATGCAGCGACAGTGGAGAGGAAAATTCCCTTTTAACAGGAAGAAACCTCCAGAGAATCCTGGCTCAGTATAAGCAGCCATCCTCCACGACTCACTGGGGATCGAGAAGACAATCAGTTTAAAACATCCAAAAACTTTCTAAATAAAGTTTAAAGTCATCATACACTGGTGATTCATCCCCATGGGGAGCAGTGAGCTGCAGCACTGGCTGCGCTTGGGAACTATTTGGTGGTTTAATCCCCCAATCCAACCCCTTTAAAAGTGAGTGTCAAGCAGGGAGGCATCAGGTCCCATTTTTAAAGTCTTTGGTATAACCCGACCGGAATTTGAACCCCGATCTCCCAGTCCCAGGGCAGTAACTTTACCACTAGGCAAAGAAAGTACGCCATTAGCTGGTGAAACCTTCGTAGCCGAGGTCAACAGAAAAGGCAAAAACAGACATTTGCTGCTGTCTTTCTCCTTGCTTGTTATTGTATGAATGGCCAGAATCACGTGTGGTCATGCAATTCTCCAGTCATTTCATTACTGGGTGGAATGTTTTAGCTGCTGTTTCATGGCTGAAATGCTCCCGGTGGGAAAGGAGAAAATATTTAAGTAGTCGTTAATGCATCTGATGGAAAACCTAAGTTAGGCCCAATTTACATGGCAGGGTTTTAAGATTGTCGACCGGTTTTAATAACATGAGACCCCACACATGGTAAAAAAAAAAAGACAGAAATACCAGTTCTGGTCATACAGTGTGTGTGTGGTGTGCAGCAACATGGCAAAAGTTACACACAAACCAATTTCACGCTTGAACGTTCCTCGTCATCGTCGTCGTCGTCTTCCTCCGCTTATCCGGGTCCGGGTCGCGGGGGCAGCATCCCAACTAGGGAGCTCCAGGCCGTCCTCTCCCCGGCCTTCTCCACCAGCTCCTCCGGCAGGACCCCAAGGCGTTCCCGGACCAGATTGGAGATGTAACCTCTCCAACGTGTCCTGGGTCGACCCGGGGGCCTTCTGCCGGCAGGACATGCCCGAAACACCTCCCCGGGGAGGCGTCCAGGAGGCATCCTGACCAGATGAACGTTCCTCGGCACGGGAAATCTCACTAACCCTCTCGAACAAACAGCTTCAAAGTAAACAAACATGGCGGAGAAAGAGTGCAGCTTATTTCTGTCACCTCACTTTCTGATTGGCTACACGTCACGTTTAACAGGCAGCACACTTGTTTGTCCTCGAATCAGACCGAAACAATCCAACATGCTTAAAATCCCTGATTTATGATCTGAGCGGTCCCGGCGTGCTTCTGAGCAGATCAGAGCAAACTTAACACACCACACATGGCAGAAATATCTGATAAGATTATTTTTTTAGAGCCATCACATAATCGGGCTCGTCCTTAAGGTTGTAGGAAGGGGACCAGGTCACAAATTTAGCTTAATTATCTTGCCGTGTGAACCGGGCCTTAGTCACACATAAGCATTTATTCTGAACATTCTGGTGAAATCTAACAGAAACAACGCTGAAGGCTTCAGTACTTCAGATTTTTCATCATAGAGTGAAACTCGGTACACTGTAACACTATCTGCAGGTGGAATTTCCTTTTGTAACATGTCCTCCTTGTAGTCTGAGATGTTGTGTCAATACCAAAGGTCCTCCTGTGTGTTGAATGAAGCCACACCCTGTCCTGTATGATCAGTCTAATGCAGCCTTGTCGCCAGGAGCTAGTTTCGCTCTTTTATTTAAGATCTTCAGTCACTGAAAGGGTCAAGTTTTAGAGCTGAAGCCTTTTGCTTAAAATAGAAAGCCAGTGATCGTAACTTCCTGTAAAAGCAAAGCACTTTACCGACGTTTAGCGCTGTGTTTTAGCTCAGGTCATGCCCTTTGATCTCCTCAGAGCTACCTCACTGGTAAATGTTGACAAAGGTGTGTAATTATGACCTCGGATTTTTCTCACAAACAGCCCACGAGGATCAGAATTCCTATTGTGCACCAGATTGTGTCAGAGCAGCTGCTACTACACAAATGTAGAAAGTCAGCAGAAAAATCCTCAAGTGTGTTTTTATAACGGCCTTTTTCCTGTGGGATCGCTTCACAGGCCATTTTTGAGATAATCACCTCAGAGCATTCATACCTGCACAGCCTCGGCATCTTAGTGCGTCACTTCAAAGACAGTGAAGCACTGAGGAAAACGATGACCGCCACAGAGCATCATCACCTTTTCTCCAACATATCAGTCATCCACAAAATCAGCCACAGGTCAGTACAGTTCTTGTTTTATTGTGTCCAGTTTTAATGTTGTGGGGAGAATCTGCTCTAATATCCGTTTGTCGGGGGTGTTCTGCAGGAAGCTGTTGACATTTCTCACCTGATGTGTGAGGAAAATGAGTTGATTTAAACTTTAAAAGTATTTGCCCTCAGCATGTCTCTCTCGAGTATCCTGTGAGCTCTATTAGCATGTTTGGACCTGCAAGCCAATCTGGTTCTGCAGCTTCGCCGCTCTGAGTGGTATTCTCAGACTGTACGGTGGTGATGTTTTCCAAGGGCGACCTTTTGTTTTGTTCTTTTCGGCTTCAGTTTGAATGAAATGGAAGGTATTTTAGCTGTAGAGGGGATAAATAGTTTTTTTTTTCGTCCCTTTTAACCATGAGAGTGTGACACTTGATTTTAGAAAAAGCAGAAGACAGTTGACACTGAAGCCCTTAGCTTGTGACAAATCAGACTGTTTCTGTGTGGGAACGTGTCCTGGTTCCTGGGTGGGGTACAGGTTTTTTTTAGGTGTCATTTTACAAACTTTTGTTCTGTTTGTTTTTTTAAAAATCCATACTTAGCTTGATTTAGATTGTTAATTTCTCTAAAAATGGAAAACCCTTCATAGTGTTTTGCAGAACGTGGATGTTAAAGTGAAAATGAAACATCTTGATGCCATCCTCGGGACTTCTGTTTTGTCTTTTTGTGGCATCAAAGGCAATTAATTCTAATTTTGCAGCAGCTGCGAAACTATGTTGAGAAATGTGACTCATGTTTCATCAGGAACACCATGCTAACACTGGAATAGAACATTAGCATGAGTGATTGTTGTCAAGTTTGGCTGATATCTGATTGCCACTTTCTAAATATCATAAATATGCATCCAGTGATCGGAGTGTTCACCATGGATGAACGTGAAGCTCCAGCCATGCTGTGCATTTTTGGTCGTTCTAGATAAATTCCTAGGCTCGTGAACAGAGTCGTGACAAAAATCAGTAACGTGAGGTTGACCGGTCCAACAGCTTATTGAACACTGTCACAACCAAATTCTGCCTCCAAAGGTCTTTAAGCTGTGTCAGAAAACCTGTGACTCCCGTCTGCAGTGGACCAATCAAAATGCACCCAGAGTGAGACTGGAAAAACAAGTGACATGTACAAAGCAAGAGTAGCAGTATTATTAGCAACAATTAATGCTACACGCAACAACATGTGAAGCACTCCTTTTTGTACTTCAGAGTAAATAAAAGAAACATTAAAGCTAGCACTTTTTTTTTCTTTTTTCTTTTTTTTTGCTTTTTATTGTTGTTTTTGTTAGCTGTTGTTAGCTTTTTCGTGACGTGCATTTTGGTGACTTTGCAAGTCGTGACATTGGCGTGTCCTGCTAGACACTGCATGAATTTGTGCCGTGTCTCTCTGAAATTTTGGGTCATGTAGTGTGCCACCTTTCTAGAGTGTGACTTCATGTAGTCCTTTGCGACAGCTGAAAAACGCTGTGTGGCCCGTGCTTAGAGGGGGCCAGGCTGGGGCCAGCTGCTCTGTTAGAGGCACATTTGTAAGAAAACAATACAAACAAAAGAGCAGGTTGACTAGTAATTGGTTGCAAGTTTGATCCTGGCTCCCGCCAGAGAATGCTGCTGTTGTGTCCTTGGGCAAAACACTCAACTGCCACCTGCTGGTGGTGGTCAGATGGACCGGTGGCGCCAGTGTTAGGCAGTCTCGCTTCCATCAGTACGCCCCAGGGCAGTTGTGGCTACACTGTAGCTCATCATCACTAGGGTGTGTGTGTGTGTGGGGGGGGGGGGATTGTAGAACCCTAAGAAGGCGCTATACAAAGACGGGCCATTTACAGTTTATTTAAAATTTTAGAGAGTAATTCCATGTTGTCGTTCTTTTTAAAACACAGAAACAGTTTTGTTTACCTGTTTTGTAGCTACGTTTCGCCAACGGCTGCCGGCTTCTTCAGGCTGACGCTGATGGTGGCGCGTCACTTCCTTCTCCGTTTATCTGCGGGCAGCACCACCATCAGCGTCAGCCTGAAGAAGCCGGCAGCCGTTGGCGAAACGTAGCTACAAAACAGGTAAACAAAACTGTTTCTGTGTTTTAAAAAGAACGACAACATGGAATTAGAAATAACGCACAGTAAGAACACACCTAAGATGTTCTTAGAGAGTAATTACAACAAAATAATATCAATTTATTTCCAGAAGTACATCTTTTCAATTAGTTTCAAAATATAAATATTTTTGCAAAAATTGTTTTTTCTGAGTTACTTATCTCGGTGACTACGTGAAAATATTGTTTAAGCATTTCTTCAGTTTCTGGTAAATACATTTGAATGCTGTCTCGCATTAGGCTAAATTATGACAAATAAATCAGTTTATTAATACTTAGACTCCTCCCTCAATGGGGGGGGGGGTGTCCAAGCTTGCTGTCAGGGTGGCACTGGCCCACCCTGAACCCCACCTAGATACACCCCTGTTGTTTGCTAAAAGCCTTAAATCTGAACCTGACCCTTTTATCCACGAGGGGAGAAGCCTGCCCTTTTTACTTCACCATTAATGCTCAATATTTCAGGTTTTTCCAGGACCTGGAACAACGTCACAACGAGCAGCTGATGATTCGGGACATCAGCGACATTGTGCAGAACCACGCCGCGCACCACTTTGATCCCTACATCGTCTACTGCTCCAATGAGACGTTTCAACAGAGGACACTTCAGAAGCTGCTGTGAGGAGCACGCCGTACGAGCTGATGGCGTTACTCCAGGAGCACGTCTGAAGTTCTCTCCTTGTTGTGTCTTAGGAACAATAACGCTGCGTTTAAAGAGACTCTGAAGCAGATCGAGTCGAACAGCGAATGCGGAGGCCTCCCCATGCTCTCATTCCTCATCCTGCCCATGCAGAGAGTCACCAGGCTGCCGCTGCTGCTCGATGTTAGTTTAACCTTTGACTGTAGAAACAGACTTCAGAGCTAAAAACAGTGATTTTTTTTTCAGCTGTTTGAACATAATACTAAAAATATCTGACTGTATAATTTCTAATAGCGTGCAGTAATTTAGCTACGGTATTACTCCTTTAATTGCTTTATTTTTCTATTTGCAGACAATCTGTCAGAAAACTCCAGCACAGACAGCGGAGTATTTTTCTGCTGTTTGGGCACTGAATGCCATGAGTAAGGTATAACAAGTCAGCTGAGTGGAAAACACTCCTCATCAGTACACGTGTGTTGAGGATGTTGATGTTTTGATTTGTTTTTGCTGCTGTTGTGATCTCAACAGTTGGTCACAAGCTGCAACGACGGTGCAAGGCGGATGGAGAGGACGGAGCAGATGTACACGATCCAGAAACAGATGGATTTTGGAAAAATAAAGGTGAGTATTTCTGCAGAAATGTGCTCAGAGCGGTTCGTTTAGGGTAAAACGAGCAAACTAACAGATTTAATATGAGCAGTGATGAATCTGAATCAGCACAGAAAACTAACAGCTGTCTCCTCGCAGCCTTTCCCGCTGATTTCATCATCACGATGGCTGAAGAAGCGAGGAGAGCTCTCCATCTCCAGCGAGGAGCTCAGCATATGGAGAGCGTTCAGCAACAGGAGCTACTACCTGTTTCTCTTCTCTGATGTACTCATCATCACCAGGAAGAAGACGTGAGTGGATTCACCGAGCTTGTTCATATTATTCACCCGAGTTTCTGAATGAAGCTGAAAATTACAGATCCGATTCTGATTCAGAGTACTTCAAACCTAGTTGTGCTGCCTGTCTAATTTACAGCCAGCTTGGGAGTGTCTGATAGAGGCGTTATGTTGTCTTTGTGACCTGTGGACACTAAACAGACCCAGCTGGTCACAGGAACACGAGCAGAGGGTATGGGATGTGTTGCATGCATACTTGGGATTCTTCAATCTTGCATTCAGCTCGACCGACTTCTGTTTTGAGTTAGGGAGAAACCAAACAACGTCCGCTCAGAGGACGGGTTTGTCCACAACACCGGGTTCAAAGTCAAAGCTGTGACCCGGTTTCAGGTGAAAGCATACGATAAGGGTTTAAGCAGACAGCTGAGGAATATGCTGCTTTTTAAACACGGTCACTCCTACACGCTACCCATATGGAACGTAATGTTTTTTTAAATCCAGAGAGGAGAGCTTCGTGGTGCTGGACTACGCCACTCTGGAGAACGTGGAGGTGGAGTTAGGGGAGGATGCAGAAGTACGAGGAGTGTCACCTACAAAATACAACTCCAACCAGCTTTCCTTCAGACTGAGGATGAGTAAGAACAGCGAGGGGAAGTCAGAGCAAACCTCTCTGGTGGCTGACTCCAGGTACTGCTGCACTCCCATGTTCCTAAAGTAAATGTAATGTTTCCTACTAATAACACTGCCTCTAACCTGGACAAGAACCGCCTTGTAAACATGTATCTGCAGGGTGAACTCTATAAAGCCTTCCTGTAATCCACATGATTCTGAGTGTTTGGCTCCCTCTGCTGGCAGAATGATAGCTCACTGTTCTCTCTTGCCAAGGGTGGACCGAGCTCGCTGGATAATTGCACTGAGAGGGAAGCAGACCAGTTTTACCTGCACAAACGGTAAGTCTGCATACTTCAGTGAGTTGCTGTAATGATGGTTGAGACTTTTTCCCTGTGAGGATAAGCTGCACAGAATTTCCTTTCGTTCTTTTAATATTTTAAATCATTTGAGTTAGATTTGTGAACCCCAGTGCAATGCATTATGGGAATGTTTCAGGTTCACCACAGTATGAAGCCACCAAAGCTTACATCCCCAAAGAGCCAGATGAACTGAGTTTGCGGCAGGCTGAGCTCGTCATAGTTCTGCAAAAGGAGGAGGGTGAGACCTTCTAGCTCATACTAGTCCCGATTCTTTTCTGCTTCTGTGTTTTAAACCGTTTGCTCTCCTTAGATTGGTGCTACGGGGAGAGGATGCGGGATGGTGAGAGAGGCTGGTTTCCTGCTAACTGTGCCACAGAGATCACCGACCCCACCGCCATGGAGAATAACGTACAACGTATGAAGCGCCTGCGCAAGGAAACCAATGTTTGATCAACTGTCAGGGTTTTGCTTGGACAGACTTGTAGATAAATTACACTGAGCCCCAGATGTCCATAACTAGACTGAAAGATGTTTATTAGCTGAATGTTGCCATAAAATTTGATGTAGTCAGTTTATAAAACAGTTAATGGTTCAAACATCTTCATTAAACTACTCCTATATTGTGCCTGTATAAATAATAAAATCCACCAGACACATTTTCTGGTTTCTGGAGTTTTATTTGAGCTTGCATTTTGTTAAAATGTCTGAATACATAAAAAGTTATTTAAAAATGTCAAACTGACCAGATATCAAATTTCATTTTTAATCATCTTTAAAAACCATTTGGTGTAAAAACTTAGGACAGATTTAGAAAAACATTTGTTGTTTCCCCAAAACGTTTTGTAGCTGCAAGTAAAAATAATGGGAAAGAAAAACAAGTCTGCATAGATTCTGCAGGCAATCGGTGGTAATCTGGTCAAACGCGTGGTGCAAGCTTGTGACGATCTTAAAAGTCAAATCTTTATTGCTCGGATCTTGTTTGATGTTTCTTCTTGTTGACAAAAGAAAAACTGTTGAAAAGAAACATAATTTAGTCGACATGCACCATGAACATCAAATGCTTAATGAGCTTCTGCTCACCCGGACGATGGTAAAAGATGGTAGGTGCCGGTGGGCAGGTTCACTACTCAGCCCCACCCTGCTGGGCCTCGGGAGCGGACGTTTTCTCTGCAGGTGGGTCGCCTCCTGTCTTGGCCTCCTTGTTTTCCTGGCCTGGTTTGCCACCAGTCTGTTGGCGTCTGCGGCGGTAGTTGTAGTTACGGCGGTAGCGCCTCTGGCGGGGCTGTTGATTCTGACCACCTTCACCGCCCTGATTTTCTTTGTCCTCCTCGCCGTCTCGCACCGGTCTGGGACGGGGTGGACCCCTGGAGCACAGAGACCGTCATGAGAACGATTCAGAAAATCGGGGTAAAGATTGCATTAACTGCAGATGCTGGATGAAGTTTCAAAGACATGCAAATATAAATAAAATGAATGCACAGCAGCAATTTGAGGTTGGGCTGCAACAACAGAAGTTTGTAATGTGACGTTTTGTCATCACTTCAAATTTTTAAAATGAAGCTCCAGTGGACCCAGAGCTTCACCAACTACTCCAGTTTTTGCCAACCCTTCATCAATAAAGCCAACATGCAAACCTTGGTGTGAACCTTGGTCGGAAGCCTCTGTAGTAGTTCTGCCTCGCCGGTTTGTTCCCCTGGTCTGGACCTCCTTGGCCCTCATCAACCTCACCTCCCTGAAAACAAACATTTAACCATAACTGACGCTTTTTTTTGTGACACACCCACTTTAGAAACTTGAAACCATCTAAGTTTTTTGTTTTAATTCTTTTTTTTTTTTTTCAAGATTTTGTTCACAGTTTTGTTGTTTTTCATTGACAGGAGGGGCTCACTTCCAAGACCCCCGATACACCAAGATTAGTTGATCACAACCACGTTTGTGAAGAGGAGAGTAGCTCGTCTACAACAAAGGGTTTTAATTTTGGAATGGGACAACTGGGTGACTGTTTCAGGATTTTAGCCCTGTGACAGCGTACCTCAGTCATCTCTGCGTGGTGCGTTGGGTGTATGGGGCCTGCGGCCGTAGCGACTACGTACAAAATATGGTGGGTAGCGCCGTCTGCCAGGGTACGCTGGTCTGCGCTGTGGTTGCTGCGAATCTCCATCAGGGATGTTATCTCCACCCTCTCTGCTGCCTTTGTCACGTCCTCCACTGCCAGGCTCTCCCTCGTCGCTCTGGTAGTTCTCTGGATAGTCTCCTCCACGGGGAGGCCCCCTCCTTCGTGGGTAGCGTCTGTAACGGTTCCTGTCAGCAGCGTACTTACTCCCCTGGACTGCAACTCCTCCTGGGCCAGTGACATTTGCTGCCTCTGCTCCCTGTGCACAAGAAAAAAAGGCAAAGTAAATTAATCATGATGGAACACAATGTCCTTTAAACAAACAAATCAAAGAAACTTACTTTTTCTCCCTCAACTACATCAAACTCCACAGTTTCTCCGTCCCCAACACTGCGAAGATATTTCCTTGGGTTGTTCTTTTTTATGGCCGTCTGAAATTACAAACAGTTTGAATGTCAAGTCTGCTTAACCACAAATTTCAATAAATGAATAAAAACTAAAGCAACAACTGACCTGGTGTACAAAAACATCTTCCTTTGTATCGTTCCTGGACAAAAGAACAGAATCTTAGTTAGCTGCATTCTGCTGAGCCTCTGCAAACAGACTTAAAACTAAGCCAGTGGGGATTAATTAAGTTCTGTGGGTTGCAACAGGATGGAGATGAGCAGAAAAATAATATGGTCAGCCAAGTACGCAAAGCATAACTTAATAGGATTAGCATGCTTCACTCTCACCCACACCCAGAAATGTACTTTGACACAGGGACCAACAGGTGACTCACCTATTGATGAAACCATATCCATTCCTGACGTTGAACCATTTGACTGTACCCAAGACTTTTGTTGCTGCAATCACAGTCAGAACAAGATTATTAAATACCATCGTCTGCCTGACATGCATTTAGAACAAATCCATATAGCTTAAGTGAAACTGAAACGCTTCCATCATGATGGGACACTTAACGAACTACATCAGAACTATAAAAACATTAAAAACTATGGCCACACATAACGTAGAGGTTATATTTAACCCGCAACTGTCACTCCTATTATAGACACTGATGCTTAGGAGACCCCAGGGCCAGCTGCTCCTAACATGAGCCACCAGTAAGAAAATATCCCAGTAACGATACAACAACTGTCCCAAATGACGCATCCAAAATGTCCCATAATGCATGACAAAGATGAGGATGCAAACAGCGACCAGTCTCTGCACTCGCATGTTTAGTTACTGCAGACCTGCTGCTCCATTTTAGGACGCAGAACCTGAAGGTTCACACGTGGTTGGGTCGCACCCGGATACGTTAACGAGCTGTGAGCTGTGCTCTGCTGGCTATTAGCATGGCTGTGTGGCTAAGGTTAGTACCATGTGGTTGGAGTAGAGCCAGCAAAGAGAAACAAACAAACGCGCATTACTAAACTACATTAATCCGTATTTATTGGTATATATGATAAAGATTTCGGTTTTGAATTAGTTTTTAGCGAACAAATTACAAAGCAGCGGGAAAAAACGGGAAAACACACGGCGGACATTTTGGACGGCCTCCCCTAAAGCCATGTAAATAGCCACTTAGCTGGCTAGGCTAATGTAGCTAGGTTAGCAACCGATGATCTATAGTAAAGTATTTAGGCCACACCGACAGCACGCAAATTCAACCAAAATAAGACCGCCATTGACGGATGTAGCTGGAGTCGCTAGCCAACAACGTTTCTTCTGACAATTTGGCCAAAAAAATCGGGACTGAACGCTTTGGAAAAGGAGAATATTTTAGATAAAATGCCTTGACATGGAATCAAGACTCTTTCGTGCGAACAAAGAGATGGTTAAGCAGCTAACGTTCGTAGCCACTGTAGTTATTTCACATGAACCGGTGTTATAGAGCATTTGGTAGGATTGTTCTGCAATTATTGGCGGTCCAGATGCAGTTATGCAGTTATTAAACCCTAGTCAAAACATCGTGGTTCTGGCAACGGTTGGAAGTGACAGCGAGCATCCATGTGATGACCGGCCGGATACACGCGACTCTCAAACGGATATTTGACGTGAGGAGGCCGATGAGCAATGGAGATAATCAGAATGGAATTCACGATTTAATCTGTGAATAAACCACTCAATTTTTAGAAACTAGACTAATAAAAACCGTTAGATTGAATTTTTTGGACCATTATAATAAGAATGCCCAAAGGAGTGAAGAATTTATCCGTCAACTGGCACTAACGTTTACCAACTGGAGCAAATTAATTTGACGTGGCTGAAATTCTCACGCAAGAACGGCAGCTTTTATTCAAATGCTACATCCACACCCAAGAGCGTATAAATTATAAATGATAACTCCGGCTCGGCTAGCCTAAGAATTCTTACCGATGACCTTCTTATCCCCCGCGGAAGCTGCGGGTGCCGGGCTGGATGGGCTCTCCGCATCCGCAGCAGGCTGTGGAGGTTGTTGCGTCTCGGCCTCGCTGCTCATGGTTACTACTCGTTGGTAATGGCTTCAGCCGGCGGCGGCTCTCTGATATTTTTCCCGGTGCTAGATGGTAACCTGGGCCGGCGGTGGTGGGGGCTACTGCCTTCGGGCTCTCAGCTTTCTTCTTTCCGCTCCCGTTGCCGATCGAACTGGGCAGAACAAGACACAGTGCAGGGGAATGTTCCCAGGCGAAGACCCGCCCATCTCGTCTCCTGATTAGCTAAAATATGTAGAATTGAACAAATCTCCTTCCAATTGGCTATTGAGACTGTCAATCTTTTTTG